CAGCCGCAGGCAACGCAGGCAACAGAATCTTTGGACCTTGCTCGTCCTTCAGAGCCATGGTGTTTTGCTGCCGGGGGCTGCTTTTTTCGAAGCTGTTTTACCGGCATCAGCAGCAGCAGCCGCAGGCAACAGAATCTCTCGACAAATGCTGTTTTTCTAGATTTTTCTAGATTTCCAGACGACACGTTAGGGAGTTTTTTCGCGTGGTTTTGGCCCTTGCTCGTCCTTCCGAGCCATGGTGTTTTGCTGCCGGGAGCTGCTTTTTTCGAAGCTGTTTTACCGGCATCAGCAGCAGCAGCCGCCGCCACCAGTTCTGCGAGCAGCCGCAGGCAACGCAGGCAACAGAATCTTTCGACCTTGCTCGCCCTTCAGAGCCATGGTGTTTTGCTGCCGGGGGCTGCTTTTTTCGAAGCTGTTTTACCGGCATCAGCAGCAGCAACCGTCGCCACCAGTCCTGCGAGCAGCCGCAGGCAACAGAATCTCTTGACAATCTCTCGACAATGTGCTGTTTTTCTAGGATTTCAGACGATACGTTAGGGAGTTTTTTGGCGTGGTTCTGGACCTTGCTCGTCCTTCAGAGCCATGGTGTTTTGCTGCCGGGAGCTGCTTTTTTCGAAGCTGTTTTACCGGCATCAGCAGCAGCAGCAGCCGCCGCCACCAGTTCTGCGAGCAGCCGCAGGCAACAGAACCTGTCGACAAATGCTGTTTTTCTAGATTTCCAGACGACACGTTAGGGAGTTTTTTCGCGTGGTTTTGGACCTTGCTCGTCCTTCCGAGCCATGGTGTTTTGCTGCCGGGAGCTGCTTTTTTCGAAGCTGTTTTACCGGCACCAGCAGCAGCAGCCGCCGCCACCAGTTCTGCGAGCAGCCGCAGGCAACGCAGGCAACAGAATCTTTCGACCTTGCTCGTCCTTCAGAGCCATGGTGTTTTGCTGCCGGGGGCTGCATTTTTCGAAGCTGTTTTACCGGCATCAGCAGCAGCAGCCGCAGGCAACAGAATCTCTCGACAAATGCTGTTTTTCTAGATTTTTCTAGATTTCCAGACGACACGTTAGGGAGTTTTTTCGCGTGGTTTTGGACCTTGCTCGTCCTTCCGAGCCATGGTGTTTTGCTGCCGGGAGCTGCTTTTTCGAAGCTGTTTTACCGGCATCAGCAGCAGCAGCCGCTGCCACCAGTTCTGCGAGCAGCCGCAGGTAACAGAATCTTTCGACCTTGCTCGTCCTTCAGAGCTATGGTGTTTTGCTGCCGGGGGCTGCTTTTTTCGAAGCTGTTTTACCGGCATCAGCAGCAGCAACCGTCGCCACCAGTCTTGCGAGCAGCCGCAGGCAACAGAATCTCTTGACAATCTCTCGACAATGTGCTGTTTTTCTAGGATTTCAGACGACACGTTAGGGAGTTTTTTGGCGTGGTTCTGGACCTTGCTCGTTCTTCAGAGCCATGGTGTTTTGCTGCCGGGAGCTGCTTTTTTCGAAGCTGGTTTACTGGCATCAGCAGCAGCAGCAGCCGCCGCCACCAGTCGTGCGAGCAGCCGTAGGCGACAGAATCTCTCGACAATCGACAAATGCTGTTTTTCTATGCTGTTTCTATGCTGTTTTTTTGCTGTTTTTCTAGCACATTTTTTCTAGCATTTCAGACGACACGTTTGGGAGGTTTTTTGGCGTGGTTCTGGAACTTGCTCGTCCTTCGGAGCCATGGTGTTTTGCTGCCGGGAGCTGCTTTTTTCGAAGCTATTGTACCGGCATCAGCAGCAGCAGCCTCCACCTGCGAGCAGCTGCAGGCGACAGACTCTCTCGAAAAAAGCTGTTTTTCCAGGATTTCAGACGACACGTTAGGCAGTTTTTTAGCGTGGTTCTAAAACTTGCTCGTTCTTTAGAGCCATGGTTTTTTGCTGCCGGGAGCTGCCGGCAGGTGCTTTTTTCGAAGCTATTTTCCTGCGAGTAGCTGCAGGCAACAGAATCTCTCGACAAATGCTGTTTTTCTATAGAATTTTCTCTAGAATTTCAGACGACCGGTTAGGGAGTTTTTTGGCGTGGTTCTGGAACTTGCTCGTGTTTCAGAGCCATAGTGTTTTGTTGCCGGGAACTGCTTTTTTCGAAGCTGGTTGACCGGCATCCGCAGCAGCAGCAGCCGAATACAATGACAGTACATTTACATTACACCAAATTACACTACATAACTTTACATTGCAAGGTACATACCAGCCAAAGTCCATCAAACTGCGCGGACAAAACCATGGTAAGAATGTCCAAGCGTTATGTCTGGGTTCCATTTAGTATTTCCTTCAAACCTTATTAGAGTGTCGTCTAGGGTCTCTTTAGGATGCATTTAAAGTTTCATTCAAATGGTTTCTTTAGGTCAATTTCTGGTTTCTTTAGGGTTCATTTCATTTAGGATCCAAACAGAAGAGAATAAAACAAAAGAATTAGAATTTCATGCCGAGCTTCTCTGGGATTCACTCGGGTTTCGCGTTTCTTAAAGATTTACATCTCTTAAAAGTTTTCTTTCGAGTTTCTTTAAGGTTTCTGTCGAATTTCATGCAGGGTTTGCTTTAGGAATTCTTTCAGGTCTTCCGGGGTCGGCGGCAGGGGCGGCAGCCCTTAAATATGTATATGCTGTATATGTAAAAGTTGGGAGGGGGAATCACCCCTACTGGGGATCTACGCTATCAAAATTACTCAATTTGTGCCGGTTTGTCCATTGTACTATCTATGAGTTCATGGAAGCCATCCGCTGATGTGTTCTTTTTGAAACGTGTAACGTTGATTGGCCATGCGCCAAAGCCCAAAATAGTGGCAGAAAAGTGCAAAACAGAGAAAATGTGTCACACTTTCAATATTTTTATGAAACATCATCACCATTTTGGTCATAATTTATCAATGTTCCATGGTAAACTAACATAACTATGGAAAATCACCATTTTCAATGGGTAAATCCACTATAAATGGTCATTTTCAACCATGTTTCCACCGATGTTTCACTACGGCCGCGGCGCATACTTCGTGGCGCGCTCCCCCAGCTCCAGCAAGGTCTCCGGGTACGTCAGATCCGTGCGAATCTTGGTGGATTCGATGGAGCCCAGCAGCCTGGGATCCCGCTGAGTTGACCAGGCACCAACTGGGCGATTTTTTTGGGGATTTTGCCAAGAGAAATGAAGGTTAGCAAGAAACGATGTTGGCTGTAAATGGTCTCAAATGGTCTCAAATGGTCTCAAATGGTCTCAAATGGTCTCAAATGGTCTCAAATGGTCTGAAATGGTCTCAAATGGTCTCAAATGGTCTCAAATGGTCTCAAATGGTCTCAAATGGTCTCAAATGGTCTCAAATGGTCTCAAATGGTCTCAAATGGTCTCAAATGGTCTCAAATGGTCTCAAATGGTCTCAAATGGTCTCAAATGGTCTCAAAAATGGTCTCAAATGGTCTCAAATGGTCTCAAATGGTCTCAAATGGTCTCAAATGGTCTCAAATGGTCTCAAATGGTCTCAAATGGTCTCAAATGGTCTCAAATGGTCTCAAATGGTCTCAAATGGTCTCAAATGGTCTTAAATGGTCTCAAATGGTCTCAAATGGTCTCAAATGGTCTCAAATGGTCTCAAATGGTCTCAAATGGTCTCAAATGGTCTCAAATGGTCTCAAATGGTCTCAAATGGTCTCAAATGGTCTCAAATGGTCTCAAATGGTCTCAAATGGTCTCAAATGGTCTTAAATGGTCTCAAATGGTCTCAAATGGTCTCAAATGGTCTCAAATGGTCTCAAATGGTCTCAAATGGTCTCAAATTGTCTTAAATGGTCTCAAATTGTCTCAAATGGTCTTAAATGGTCTCAAATGGTCTTAAATGGTCTCAAATGGTCTTAAATGGTCTCAAATGGTCTTAAATGGTCTCAAATTGTCTTAAATGGTCTCAAATGGTCTTAAATGGTCTTAAAAGGCTTTAAATGGTCTCAAATGGTCTCAAATGGTCTCAAATGGTCTTAAATGGTCTCAAATGGTCTTAAATGGTCTCAAATGGTCTCAAATGGTCTCAAATGGTCTCAAATGGTCTTAAATGGTCTCAAATGGTCTTAAATGGTCTCAAATGGTCTCAAATGGTCTTAAATGGTCTCAAATGGTCTTAAATGGTCTCAAATGGTCTTAAATGGTTTCAAATGGTCTTAAATGGTCTTAAATTGTCTCAAATGGTCTCAAATGGTCTTAAATGGTCTCAAATGGTCTTAAATGGTCTTAAAAGGTTTTAAATGGTCTCAAATGGTCTCAAATGGTCTCAAATGGTCTTAAATGGTCTCAAATGGTCTTAAATGGTCTTAAAAGGCTTTAAATGGTCTCAAATGGTCTCAAATGGTCTCAAATGGTCTCAAATGGTCTTAAATGGTCTTAAATGGTCTCAAATGGTCTCAAATGGTCTCAAATGGTCTCAAATGGTCTCAAATCTCAAATGGTCTTAAATGGTCTCAAATGGTCTCAAATGGTCTTAAATGGACTTAAATATACTTAAAGGGTCTCAAATGGTCTCAAATGGCCTTAAATGGTATTAGTGATTTCTTTTTTGAAAAGACTTTCCATGGAGATTTTCACACCAAATATTGGGAATCGGCCAACATGCCAATCCAAAGGCATCCCCTGATATCTGGCTCCGGCGGAGTCCCAGTGAACTGCAGTATGAAACTTGTTCACATCACTCGTGACAGACATCCACCAACATAGTTTTGGGTGCACATAAGCATCTGGTTGTTGGCGGTGCACGAACAGTTTTGCTTCACAAATAAACATGGAGACATGTTCATTTTGGAACACGCTGATTCCTTTGATCATCTTACCTCATGTTCTCTTTCTTTGTTTCTTGTGGAAAAGCGATGCGTTCAGACTCCAAATGTTCAATGGGCAAAGCCTCGACACCCACTGATCATGTCTGGTTGATGCCAAAGCATCGTGCAAAAATGAATCACTGGTGTAAGTAACTCCATCACCCTCAACGGCAAGGAAAACATATGAAAACATCAGATGTTTGAAATCACCAACATCCAGCAACAGATAGGCTCTCCGAGTAGTACACGTGGCAGGTATTCCATTGCAGCCATTCTGACATTGCAAAACACAGATGTCTACCAGAATAAATTTGGGCAATATCGATGTTTTGACTCCCCAGTGTTCAATTCATTGTGACTTTCATATTGGTTTAAGGGAAAATCTGTTCCTGTAAACCAATCCAATGAGACTTAGTCATGAGTAGCCTAGAACATACAACCTAAAGATCGTCGCCAAAGGCTGGCTTCGGAGTACAAAATTCACCGCTTGTGCCGTTGTGCCCCTCCCTAAATCCCAGTGGCAAAATGCCGAGAATATGCAAATATTGCCACAAGGGACCTGCCGCTCAGCGGAGTCGCCAGTGAGATCATCATCCAACCGAGTGCTGGTCAACCAGCGAAGACCCCTCTGGTAATGATAGTAATATAGCGATGGAAACTGGATGAAACTGGCCCAAAAAAATAAATGATCTACACAACAAATCAGGTTGAAAACAGCTATGTTGAAAACCATAGGCTTTGGCCAAAATTTGGGTCGCTCCCGAGTCTTGCAAACCCTGAAAGTGTATCCTGTTTTCGGATGTGGGCGGAGAATCAAGAGTCACAGGAGCTCAGGCATTTTTTGGACAACACATGTGTGGTTTTGTTGCAAAATCATGTACCCCAAAACCCAGGGGTCTATCAGCACTCCTTCCATTAGACTTGCCACAAAATGGTGTACCACCCATTTTGGAAGAACAATATAGTAGTCATTATCCCTTCTGATCATTGGTTAAATCACCATGTTTGGTGGTAAAATCCATATTTTAGTACCCCCCCGAGCAGATGTGCCATGGTCAAAACATGGTCAAAACGGGTTGTGGTAAGCCATCCTGTATTGGAGATCCTTATAATGGGTATATTTTCATCGCTACTCATGGATTGATGACCATCCCCCAATTTTTTTAGGAAACCAGCACGTGTTTTGACGTGACACATATGATTAATTACGGTTTAAGTTTTGGAACATCCATGACTTCCCTATAGCCAGAATGATTTATAACTGGTCGGTTCATGTCGGTTCCATATATCCTGAAACTCTAGTCTGATTCATCTTACCTACCAGTTTGTAGTGACAATCCACCAAAGAAAAGAACCGCTCCATTGACTCAGGATTTTCTGGATATTTCTGGTATATTTATATTGTATTTTTTGTTACTTTACTGGGAGGCAGATGATTTCTGCGACCCATCTCAATCCATGCCCCTAAATTCTCCCAATCCCCCTACTACAGTAAACCATCCTAAACCATAGTTTCTGGGGGGGCATTTTGTAATGTAAGGGGATTAAACCACACGGAACCCATGACCATTATTCCCATCAAAACCTCCATGTTCAGCGGCCACTTCGCAAAATTTCTGGCTGGAAACGCCTACGTAGTACGCCTGGAGCTGATCGTTGCCGGAGCATTTGTGAAGGGCCCGTTAGACCCATCCAAAAAAGAATAATAAAATTGGGGGCTAAAGTTACTTTAACACTGTGTTTTTTTTTACATACTGATTTTACCACCAAAAATGGTGGACTCAATCGATGAAGATTGGAAAAAAACAAGGGATCAACATGTTTTGTGTGTTTCTTTCCAAGAAATTTGTCGTGTTTCCACTGATAACAGCATCTTTTGCCAAAATGTTTTCTGATGGGGGAATAAAAACGCTGGTCAGATCTGTGTCAAAATAGAGGACCCCCAAGAATTATTGATGATTTAGTTTAGAAAGGAATGTTCTCCACTATTTTATGGCCCATAACATGGGGGAAACGACGCCATTCAATGGCCGAACTGATGGTCGAAATTTCTGTGTCTCACAGCCTCAAATTTCTCAGCCACACCCAAACTACAATGTGGAATGGGATCGTTCACCGGCAGCAGGTGTACATCCCCGTTAGCTAGCGAGAAAAAAACAAATAGCTACCCCAGCTACTCGACCAGCTCTAATGGATAAAGCCTGAAGTGGGATCAGCTACTGTCACAGGAGATCTTTCCAAAGGTGCCATAGTCAGGATGCGTGGAGACAGTTGTGTATCGCCTTTCCACTGTAGGCAAAGGATCCAAGAGACATTGGAATATAGATCCAAGATGATCCAAGCCATTAACACTGAAGATTGCACTCCCATCTTGACACAAAGAAAGAGTTGAAACATGTTGAAACCACAAATTTCCATTCTGTTTCGGCAACCGTTTACGTCTAGTGTCAATGACCCTGGTCTTTCCTGCTTGAAACTGCAATTCGGGGCTGTCGCCAATTCTTTTAATCCAAAAAATCCCCGATTTTTCCAGTCAAACAGCGGCAAAACGGTGATAGTAAAAAGAGGCGGGATTCACCATGACCAGCCTGTGCTTGGGGGGGCAGTTCCACTTCTAAGTGTATATATAACATGATATTACCACATAGTTCTAGGGGTTCCTGTTCTATCCCCACCATATGAGGGGTGAAGACCACCCAACCGCCGTCGCGCTAAGATGCAGCCCCGTACGTGGCACAAAGCCTCCCCTTGTACTTCCATTCCTCAGAAGTTGTTCATGGTCAATCTTCCCCTGAAAAACAACATGTTTGGTATGCTATCAGAATAGTGTGTAGATATATATTTATATTTATATACGTTTTTGACATATTCTTATATCATTGATCATTGTCATTATAAGTAATATATTACTTCATCTGAGCCATGAATAATACACCTATCCCATCCGGTGTATGGGGAGCAAACCAACCTTAAAAATTAGAGAAAACCAGCCGCAAAACCAGCTGCAAAATGGGGATTTATTGGGATGTCATGGGATATCATGGGGATATCTTTGGTATACCCTCTGGTCATTTCTTAGATAGCTGATAGCTATGACAAATCAGCATGCAAAATTAGAGGCAAATCTTCGAACTAAATGGGCCATCGTTTCCATAGCCATGCCAAACTACCGCAGGTCATAAATGTGCATTTATAGCAAAAAATAACAAGTTAACCCAATGTCCCCTACTCAGCTAAGGTCTACTCTTAAAAAAATGTCTGGTTCGTTGTTGAGACGCTCTTTTGGCTCCAGAAAATATTGAAGTGTTTATTATCCCTTTATTGGGAATGGAAAGAAATAGGAATACGTGTCTTGTTTGAAACCAGAAACCCCACTAAGCTCAAGGAGGAAATCTTCAGCGCGAATTCTCCCTGAAACTAACTCAGTGATGTTTTTGCGAATAGCTTAGGAACTCATACTCAAAGTGTATATCTTGATATACACCACATAATCCATGTAGTGGGGATATAAACCATATATAACATTATATAACAACAATGTAATATAATCCATATGTATCATGAGATAAGTAGTAAGTAGTACGTCAGATATTTGCCACTTGGCCAAGTAGTTCCTAGCACAGAAATCAGAGATGGATAACTCGCTGATGATTGCAACCCATGGCTAATGTCCCTGAAAGATAGCAAATGATACCCTCTGGTAAACTCACATGGCTGTGGAAAATCACCATGTTTAATGCGTAAATCAACTATAAATGGCAATTTTCAATAGCCATATGAAATTACCAAACGATATATGGAGCTGTTTTGGCAACCGAACTCCACCTTGGGATCCTGAAATAACGTGGATCCTAGCAGGCCTCCCCAAATCCCCTGTTCGCACATGGCGCCTCGCCGAAAACCCAAAAAGCAAGGACCGTTTTTTTTGTGAGGATGTGTGAGGAACTCCTATGGTATAATGGGTATCTCTGGGGTTTTCTTGGATATCCTGTATTAAATGTGAAAATATCTATATATAGTATTCCCCCGTTAGAGCTACCCAACTATTCCCAGGCACCCAAGAAATCGAAATCCGCCAGTTCCATAGGGCTAGGAACAGTTGAAATGATCCGAGTTTGATTCTCTTGGCGCTGTGTTGATCGCAAAGAATTGTCGATTTTTAATTTCTAACTGAATAAGTGAAAACAAACAGCGCAACATATCTGAAACCAGAACATCCTTTTTCCTAGAAAGAAACCCAATCTATTCCAAGATGTGATTGGCTTACATATCCTACACTTGTTGTGGTTCAATGGTTTCATGGTTTTCCATTTTTGAGCCAATATCCCTGTAAATCATGGTTCAAACATGTTTGTATTTTTAAATAGATGTTCATAACATCAAATGGGTTTGTCTGAGAATGGTTTACCTCCAGATTTGATGGTGATCAACATTTTCCCTATTGAAACTGCCATTTTTTCGAGGCATGTCGCAAGTCATCAGGCTCAGTTCAACGCCAAGTGGCAGCCCAAAGGGTTGGTAGGCACAAGACTTCGCCCTCGTCAACTTCGACTTCGCCCTTGCCGTTTGGAGCGTAGCACAAGCGCCCCGTCTCGATGATGAAGACCTTGAGGAAGTGGGGAGATCTGGGAGCAACTTCAAGATATTTGGGGATAAGTAATGTGCATATAATTGTATGTATGTGTATATATACATATATATGTATATGTATATATATATATATGGGGTTACAGGGTTGTTTTGGGCGTTTGTTTTTGCGCGTGTTTGGAGAGCGCACCAGGCCATCACCATCATTGAGGAACTGCGGCTCCAATTCCAAGACCAAGCGGCTGACCTGCATTGCCATCAGAAGAGCCAGCAGCAGCATCATACTCTGCCTCATCAATCACGCCAAAATCCATGCGGAGCCTCTTCGGGTCCGGAGAGTGCAGCTCCTCCTTCAACTGAATGGCCGCAGTAGGACTGGTGCCAGACACTGGATCTTGAAGGGACTGTGTTTGGGGATGGACGGCAACTGCTACATCCGATGGGCCGGGGGCAGCCTCAGCGCAACCATGCCAAAAGAGTGCAGTGGGTACTTGAACAGGATCTATGCAGCTGTCAACAAAGCAGTCTGTCTAGCAAGGGTTTGCCAGGATGTTGCGACCATACCTTGTCACTGGACAGAGACCTTTGCTGCCATGAAGACGGATCACAAAGAGCAAGTGCATAGCAACACCAAGCAACACCGAGTTGTTGATGACAAGGTGCAAAGATATAACACCAAGGCTCAAAAACACCGTATTTTAGAACGCCCCAAACACCCCTGAAGCCATATATATATATGTATATGTGTGTACTGTATGTGTATGTGTATGTGTATATATATATATGTGCATATATGTATGTGTATATCTGTATAATATATATATATGTATATATATATATATAATCATAGATATATAGGGGGAATCAGGTGATATAAGATATATCTCTACAATATGTGTTTTTAGGTCCAATGGTAGTGGGATAGAGTGTGGATCCCAAGCATCCCATGACAGTCAGCGGGGATCATTGAAACATTTCTGTAAGGATCTAGTGAGTTATCATGGTGATGGGATAGGATATTTTTCGGAGATACGACTTTGACATATGTCCAGATATGCGAATGTACCCCAATTCAAGGACATTTGGATGCAGAAAATGGGGTTTGGAAACATGGGAATGAGAGTCAGTTGGCCTATGGTTGAAATCAAATGCTCAGTCAACAATCAACGGGTGGCTGATAACAATCATTAAGTCAAACGTGGTGTTGAAACCAGTTGCGTGCAAGATGTGCGAAGTTTCAAGTATATACGTAAGTTAATCAATATATATAATATACAGTACATATACGGTTCATTGTTTGGTCAATTCTCCCATTACAAAATAGACATGATTTCTCGATGGGGTTAAATTGAGGGTTTATCCGCTATAAATGAGTGAACTACTTATGGTTGCTAAAGCACAAAAGAGCATCTTGAATTACCCTCCCGTAAACTAGCATAGAACATAACCAATGTAGATATTATCTACCAAAGATTATGATTTTCCACCTCTATGTTTGCCCTAGGGTATCCAGAACTCACCAAATCAGAAACCTGGGACCCAGTGTGGAATGCATGCTTTCCCCAGTCCTAACCCATCATTTTCGTTGTCTGCCGACGTCAATGGATGGTTACTGGAAAATCCCACTATAAATGGATGATTTAGGGGTAGCCCCATGACTTAGGAAACCTCCATATCTTACGATCGATTTTGACAGCGATGCTGGGCGGTCCCCGGAAATGTGTCGTGCCTCAGTGCAAGTGCGCCCTGGCAGGAAGGCATCCTGCATGGGCTTGGCGATGTGCTCCACCATGCAGAAGTGGCAGACGGTGCGAAGGAAGTGGAAGTCCTGGTGCGACGGTGCGACTTCCAGGTGAGACCTGGAGAACGCATCACTTAAAATGATGGGAATGAAATGGTGCCCAAAATGTCATGCGTATGATAAAAGCGTGATATCAACTCCTGTAATTAGTCTGAGGGGATGTGACCTACACATACTTACACTCAAAAAGGATGAGTTTAACCTACTGAGCATAATTTCAAGCTCCAAAAATGGGAAGATCACCGACACAAAAATGTTGATTTAATTTGACTGAAAGAACTTCGTTCCATCGAAAAAAGTCCACAGCGGTTGTATCCCGACAGTCGATGCTGTCTTGTTTCATCACTCTATAGTGGTCTCATCCCAAACAATGGAATCTTTGTCAATTGAAATCATCATCCTTTTGAAGTAGACTTGTTGTAGGATGGAAAACGATAGAATTTCCTCAAAGTCCACCCATGTTATCCCATGTGTTGATGTCTAAACTCGCAAAAAATCTCTTTTCAACCGTGATTGCTGAGGGTTATATTGGTTATATGAATGGCTTAGCGGCTAAACTCGATTCAACCTCCATCAATGCTCAAATTCCAGGTGAACCCCCTTCTCGCTGCCTCCCTGGATGAAAATGGGCTCCTCGGTATGGGCCCATGAAGGCCACACGCGGAGCTGCGTCAGCATTGCCATGAACATCTCCTTCGGTGACTTGACCATTGTTGATAAATTATTAATATTTAATTATCTGTTATTCTATGTTGTCATTGTTACATAGCGTTACAAATTATAGGGGGTTACTATGGGTTACTAACCAATACTAGCCTATAGATTTATTTTGGGATTGTGATGACTCATCATGAGTCTGACGATGGGAGATCCTGGGGTCCTCCTGGGACGTGACATGCCCAAATTCCAAGCCGTGGCCATCATGTCGAACAGATTTCATCCCCTCCCCCCAGAATTGTTTGAGGAGAAACACACTGGATGAAATGTGCTAGACTCAAGTAAGCAACTTGATGCGGTTCACTCATCCCGAATGGCTCCAAAAACCCTTCATCCATCATAAATCCATGTCAATTCACTGTTCATTGGTTGATAGTTCAACTGCCGACCATGCATCGCCCCCATCACCGCCTCGTGCAGCTGTTGATGCAGAGTCTCGGGGATGCCCCGGATCAGTTCCACTTCCGTCTCCTGGACTCCTTGGTTCATGTCGTTTCGGAGCCAAGGTCCAGATGCAGCCACCATTCATGGGGGTTTCCATACTTATGGGGATACCCCAAGCGAGCATTGGATTGTTTTTTTGGGGGAAAAATCCATCTGCAAATGGATGATTAAAGTAGGGTACCCCTATTTTAGGAAACCCACTATGCTGACACATGCGTTGGATTGTTTTGGAAGTATGCCTCCAAACATGGAAAGGTTGCAACCAGGTTTGAACTTGGGGATACCCATGCAAACATGGAATGGTGCCGGATGAAACAAAGTGGACACAACACGTGCTGCCCGCAAGCTGCTTGCGGCAAACGTTCAAAACATTCAAAACGTTCAACCAATGGTTGGTGTGATCATCATCCCATTCATAAGGTTGAAGATCCAAAATCTTTGGAACCACTGAAAAAAGATTCCGGATGTAACTACATCCCCTGTGGACCACCTATGTTGGTTACATCCCACACCCAGTTCAGTAGAGGCCAGTTTTGTAGTGGACCTCGTGCTGCCCATTGCAACAAGGCACGCACTTGGAACATCCCTTCCTTCCGCAAGACATCTTCGACCTGTGTCGACCGTCTCTGAAGATCTCTCAGCAATCGCACTGTTGGTTTCAAACTAACATTAGGAGGTTTCCTAAAATGGGGGGTACCCGAATAGCTGGATGGTTTATAATGGAAAAGGCTATTATGATCTATTATGTAATGAATGATTTCGGGGTACTCCCCATTTCAGGAAACCTCCATATGCATCAAGGGTACAGAGTCAGGAACGCAAATGTACGCCTAAAGCCCTAAAAATGGGCCCGAATCCCAGCATCGCAGCGCAAAAGCTGCTTTCGGAAACCTGTGCTGTTCTGTAGCATTAAAGCAGCTGACACAGACATGATGGAAATCAAAATACCAATGGATTGAAGTTGAATCCCCAGGATCCCATCCATACTCTTTGTTCACCAAGAACTTTTTTAGTGGAAACCAGAAATTTGCTCCCCATTTCCTCAAGAAATGAGTGGTAAAACAAATATGATATGGATTTTGCCAATCGGATTCCCTATGGCCCTAGGTGGGTTATCCACTTGGGAAAATCAACACATCCCCCACCTTGCCGTAGAGGTCCGCCGACAGGTTGCGCTCGCAGAAGAAGCGCAGCAGCGAGGCACGTTGTGAAAACTGCTTCGCTTGCGAGGCGCGAAGAGAACCTTAGGGGAAAAAACGGCCAATGGAATCCAATGGATATGAATGATGTATTCATGTGTATATATATATATGAGTATCAAATAGTTGCTTCATGGAATTTTATGGAATAGAAGTTTTAATGCAAATGGTAATGTATAGGAATGTCTATGGATGATGAATAGATGACGGATGTATAGATACGAATATACAATTACGTAAATGAATGATTCATGGCGAGAGTCAGTGGCATTTGATTACTGTTTGTCATCGTTGAACCCCTGAAAACCTTGGTTGAACACTCCACCACTCCCCTTCTGGAAGTTCTCATTGAGGAATGTCGGGCCTCGGAGCAGGCAAAGCCTACGCCAGAAACTATCCCCAATGACTCACGATATGGGTGTTTCCATAAATGGCTAAATGGGGGATCCCCAATAGCTGGATGGCTGATTTCATGGAAAATCCATGAAAATCCATCTATAAATGGATGATTAAAGTAGGGTACCCCCATGACTTAGGAAACCAACATATCTGTGCTATAAACCCGCCGAGTTATTGGAAGTTCTTGGAGCTTTATCGCTGTGCCAGGCTTTGCCGAAATACTAAGGGTGCCATATGGTATCCGCTATGGGGGGCATCAGGTGCATACTAGGTGTGGCACCTCGTGTGTGCTATGGGTGGCATGACACAATCGATCTGCAAACGGCACATGAATATGCTCTGGTGGGCATATATGACATGGGTATGCGCTGGTGGACATTCCAGTATATGCTGTATTGGGATGTAATGTCTTGGGCAATTTTGGGTAAGTATTGAGCATATCTTTTGTGCAACTGATGGAAAAAGGTGGTTCAAAAAATCAAAATCCAAGCCTAGCGAGTGCCACAGCAAGAAAACGACCGTTTTCTTCATTTTCTTCGGCGTCGAATGTCCGGGGAAACTGGTCTTATGTCTTCATGGCGTGGAGAAGCTGTGAATTAGCTGTGGCCAATGACACCAAAGCTGGAGCTCACTAGCTCAAATGGCAAAAACTGATCCTAAACTGTACACATCAGCAGCCAAGTTGAAATGGCCCATGACAGACTCATCAGGGCCAAGGTCTTGCTCAGATTTGCTCAGAATTTCAAGGTAGGGAAGGAAGGAATTGAAGGTCATGAAGGAATTGACGCATCTGACGAATCTGTCCTCATTGTCACTTTCAATCATAAAGGAGAACGTATCAACCCAAGCAAAGCGCCCAAAGCCGCCCACCAAGAAGGGAAGGCAAAATCACCTTGACATGCACGAATAACAAAGGCAGCAAGAGTGAAAGTGAAGCCCCACACTGCTTGTGCACGCATACCAAGCAATGGCAGCTTCAACAGCCATATCCGTAGCAACCAAGAAGTGCCAGATTTCCAGCAGATGGACATCCAGATGAACCACGAGATAAAGAGTGCTAGGTTTGCTCCTGCCAAACTGCGAAAGATCAGTTGATCTCCTGGTACGATGACAAGGCCTATGATAGCGCCTGCAAACACGAAGAGTAGAGTGACCGGCCCCGACATGAAGAAAACAAATGCATAATGACCCCATTTCTTAAGAGTGCTTCTTCTGTCGACAGGTTCGTCGACCATTACCCATTCCGACTCTGCCGCAGGCTGGTTTGCCTGCCCCATGATGTGCGGAAATCGCTTGACTCTGAGAATTTAAGCTGCATGATGATATGTGTGAATTGATGGACTGATCGGTGGATTGATCGAGGCCCCAACATGCCAACATGCCAACATGCCAACAAGTTTCTGAAACCTGGTACCGGTACCTAATTCTGCTTGAACTCACATCCAAACACATCCAAACCTAAATGTGCAGAGGCGACATGCTGAATACAGAAATGACAAGAAATGACTTATTTGGCATCCGCGTCTCTTAATGATCTCAATGGTTTTGATTGAATGCCAAGCTCAAAGTTGTTGACTGCCTTAATTCTACTTTGTTGAAACACCGAGGCTTGTAACTTGCTCTGGGCTCTCCGACGGCAGCGACACCGCCGAAGATGAACATCACAAAATAGCAGGGCGGCCGAGGAAAGACCAAAGATGACGAAAAGAAGCAACAAAGCCCTGGTAAATATATATATATATATATTATATATATATTATATATATATATATATGTTGTAAAACCTTCCCACTTAGGAAAGTGGTTGCACAATGGCGGCACAGCCGAAAGATTCATTTGAGAAAAACTCCATCAAGCACAGCCTACACTCTAACATCCGATCCAAAAACAATACCCTCTGATAAACAAACATAGCTATTGAAAATGGCCATTTATAGTGGATTTTCCAATTAAAAATGGTGATTTTCCATAGTTATGGTATAGTTTGCCAGAGGGTATCAATGGTGCCACAGAACAAAAATAGATCAATCACCTCTCCAACGTCCCTGGAACAGATGTTGCCATAAAATACGACTGCGCAGCTCCTATCCCATCCAACTATAGCTAAAGTTAGAACCAAAATCCCCAGAACCCCAACTCGAAACACATCAACGATAAAATCATAAAATTCTGGGTTCAAAGAAAAAGATAGCTACATGAATGCTACATGCTACCTAGCAATAAACCTTTAATTTTGAGATGTTTTGAGTATCCCCCTTCCAAAGAAATAGAGAACCTGGCAACAGATTGTGGGTCCACCCACCCGAGGAAACTCCGAGTGCTTCGGGATCAAAGATCAACTGGGGAGATTTAGAGACTTTGGGGGATATTTGGTCATTTGGTGATATTTTGAAACACTCAGGGATATTTGGAGAATTTGGAGATCGAATCAAACTAACTATAAGTCTAATATCTATCAAGTCCATATATTATATCGGATATTCAGGAATATTATATATATATATATATAGTGATAAGAGTCCAAGGATAGAATGGACACACAAGCAGATAGAAATGGATTCACAACGATTTCGATACAACTCCGGCTGGGTGTTGCTTTCCATTTAGGTGGGGCAACTACGATCTACCTTCCATATGCAGCATAACCTCAAGGCTCAGAAAACCAAACACACACCAATCAGTTCTCTGATGAAATACCACCAGGTGCGCATCAAATTCAGAGAGCTCCAAGCATGCCAAGTTTAAATCAGACACTCATTTGTTTTGGCATGTTCTGCCGTGTTTTGGAAGGTGTTCCCACAGGATCTTTCTTGGGAGCTACACTGGTCCTGGGTCCTCTGCTCTTGTCTCAAAATAGGATACCCAAAAATCCCATGGTTGAGAGCAGTATTTTCCGGCATTTACCATCTGGTTATTTAACATAGCCATGGTATAGATGGCCCATAGAAATAGATGGTTTACCTATTAAAAATGGTGATTTCCCATGGCTATGTTAAATAACCAGAGGGTATTAATTAGTCAATGGCCACACAATCGAGTAAAGTACCTATGTTTGGACAACATTTAAAAGCGAGCGTCCGATTAAAATCCCGTTTGATGACTTTCCCATTAATGGGATTGTTCGGATCACAATTCATGGCATTTTAACAACTCCTCATGGGAGATATTTCATACATTGAAACACTCATTTATATGGGTTTGTCCAAAAAAGGGCTACACCAAGATTTGATCATCATTTTCCCTACTAAATTCATCATTTTGGGGATATCGCCTATTTCCATCTATTTTCAGTCAAAATCATCCGGCTTTGTCTGAAAATAGGCAACCCCATTCCATCCACTTCTTTCCCATCATTTTTCCACCTTCAGATTCACATATGTTTTTTCTTCCCCCATGTTCAAACACATCCGGCCATTTTCATTACATAGTTTTCACCAGCTTGTTTATATTATCCATACTATCTATATTATCTATGGTTGTATTATGTTGTATTTCTCATTCATCATACTAGACTCTATGCTTATAAATATATAATATATATATAATATAATATATATATATATAATATTATGATCCATACATATCCATACTATCCATACTCTCTCTATTCGTTGTATCATCCCAGATCATCCCAACGTTCCCGGCGGCTTCGCTCCGCGAGAGCGAGACTCACGGTGGCGGTGATGGAACTGATGAAGGACGAGAAGACGCCCATGGCTAAGAGGATGACCCAAACCGCAAAGAGCCTGGCCGGACGCGCCGACCGAGGTGAACTGGAGGTGAAGTATTTTTGTTGGGTTAACTGGAGCTGATGCGAATTTTCTGGGAAATGGTCGATAGAAGCTATCTAATATTATATGTACGAAAGTGAGAGGCGAAAGAATGGCGATGATCACTCTTTAACATCTAATTTGTGAAACAGCGTGTTTGACGACGATCAACCATGAGGAAGCCTCGCGCTGGTTCGAAAAGATCATAGATTCATAACAACCAAGCAATCCCAATCTGCCATGGTGAAGACTTTCTGGTGCGCTAAATACCCATTTCATGGCAAGAGCCCAGGTGTAAGGTGGTGCCCCGCAGTTATAAGTTGATAAATAACCTCATCTAACTAGAATTATAGTCACGAAGAAAATATAAACCAACTTACCCTCTGGTTATTGTTTATATAGCAATGGAAGCCATGGCCCATTTAATTCGATGATAAGAATTATTATTTACCGCTTTACCATGTTAAATATATATATATATATATTCCATACCTATCGTAAAAGGGGACTCAAAATTGTAGTAATATTGACTCAACATCCTAAGAAACAGCTGGTTATGTTTCTGGTCAGGCTGTGACCACCATTATCCCTCTAAAACCAGGGATATCACAAAAAAAATCTTGGACGACTGAGGAACAAACCACAATTCCACAACATATGTCTAGAATTGTCTAGATCAAATGTTTTTCTACATCATCTATTTCCACATCATAAATCTCACATACCATCTAACTCCCGTCAAACGTCTCGCCTCTCAAGGGCGCTATTGGGCGCGATATCGTTGGTGGCCGGGGTAAACCTGGGCCCAAAAATCATGGGAAAAATACGGGGAATTTAACTTCATGGCATGGTGATCTAGTGGATACCCTCTGGTAAACTGTACCATAACTATGGAAAGATCCACCATTTTCAATGGGTAAATCCACTATAAATGGTCATTTTCAATAGTTATGTTTGTTTATCAGAGGGTATGATTAGTGAAATGGGTTATAGTAATCCCGAAATACAGGTGGATGCAGTGGATGCCTGAAAGTTGGAAACTTTTCACATAGATTAGAAGTACAAATTGTCGAAGCACTTCTCGACATCTTTTTTGAGGTTCTATAATGGCTGGAAATATACCGTCTAAAATATGATATCAGTGGTGATCTAATGGATATGATTAATATAGTTTATTCTTGGGATTGCTGGAATATAACTTATTTTCAACTAACAATATATGGGTCAGTCTTAATTGATGAAACAGGGCTGGGAAAATCATCGATTTCGATGGGGAAAAATCACCGGCATTTTTTTCAGAGAGCTGATTACAAGTCATGGTATCCCCATGTATACCCCGCTTACTTTCGGGCTATCTGGATAGGGAAATTCATGATCATCCATGAAAATTGGTGGTGCCTGGTGCCTTATTCTACAATCACTATATAACAAGCAATAGAATATGGACTTGTCCAAACATGTGAAAATAACCAAGACAGAAGTGACCAGCAAACTATGGATATGATGATGAAAACAATAATACCAACAGGGACATAAACGCAGACCTGGTCCACTGGTGAAACCTGCAGATTTTGCTAGATATCTCATGGCTTCGTTCCAGGCACGTTTTTCATGGCTTCGTTCATGGCTGATCAACTTAAACCATAGAACAATATATAGAACACACCTATTAGCAGTCACAAAAAACAAAAGAAACATTTAAGGCAAAAACTGGTCGTTTTTTCTTGGGGGTGTACTACTAGTAGCCAACATATTTGGGTTGGCGACCCATCGGTGGGGATCCCTCAACCCATAATCCCAGAATCCCCAAGAGAACCAGGTACTACCGGTGGTGCCATGTGGTGCCCCCAAACATGGCTGCTAAGTTGGTCTATGGATAGGTTAACTGCTTGGTTTTTGGAAGATATTGGCAGATATTATATATATATAAATATATGGTAGACGTCGACATTCTCACACTAGATGATGTAGATGAACAGCATCTTGTAGTCTAACCTCCTCCCAGTCCAATCCTACATCCCAAAAAGTGAGAGTCTATACTATAACAGCCTATAACACACCCTATTTTTTAACATCCTGCCTATAACTAATCCAAATCGTTGTCTCAACCAGGCGCCGAGTCCAACGAGGTCCAAGGCGCTGTGTTAGCGTCCAGTGCATGGAGGCGGCGTAAGATTCTGTGAAGCCAGCCTCAGGCACAAGCCGTGGCACCCTGGGGCACTGGCGCTAATGTTGGTAAAAAATGTTCCAAAGTAAAAATTGCTGGCCACTAAAGTCACGGTCCTGTTGGTGAACTCAAATTCTCAAATGAAAGTTTAGTCCACATTTTCTTGATTTATCAATGGGTTCGAAAAGAATTGTAGGTGACTTAGTCTGACCCTGTGGTGAGCAACGATATACGGCCAAACCGCTCAGTTCCCATGTGTTTTCTTTCTCAGTTTCCTGATTTCCCGACATGTTGCTAAAATATGCTAAAAAGTCACATCCGTTCCCATCCAAAATATGAAAGAAAATTCTGACATGTTGGATGCTCACCTTCCAAAAAAGCTACAAATTCCACCATTTCCATCATCTCAATCTATCATGTGATTGGGAATTTAATTGTAGCTCCAGAAACATATGGACTATATCTGGAGGTTGCCGAAAATGGGGGTTCCCGCAAATCATCCCCAAATTAGATCATTTTCGGAAGTTTAGCCTTGAAACATCTATTGAAACAGATGGCTTTGGGGATCCATTTAAAGAACCCCCCATATTCCCCATATCGATACCTATCCAGATGGCAACCCCCAGCCCACGCTTCGCCACGGCTACGTCTGCCATGTTGGAGCGTACGATCCAGCTGTTGCCCGTCTCCAACATGATCCTGTCCAAGTACGATGACCATTGTTTGGTGGCTTGCAACCATGAAGCTGACTCTAGCAGCAAAATAGTTATGTAAGTTATTTAGCAGCAACACCTAGTTAAGCATGAAACTATTTTGTGACTCTAGACAAAACCTAGGTACCTGACATTAGCAGCAAACATGTAGAGACTAAGACAAAACAACTAAAAATAAATTAAATGGTCTTGATGTGCTAAAGCACTACGCCTAAAAAATTGTGACTTTGGGGATGGTTTATGACATTGGATGAATGGTTCACCTTGGTACTCGGGTCCCTCTGCAAGATCCATTTCGATGGCAAATGATGAATTAAATGACTTGTAATTTATAATCTATGAGCGTACATTAGATATACGTATATAAATCAGCTATCAATCGAAGGTTGACACTACAAGTTACAAGTCCCTATCATCATTTTACGGAGCGCGCACCCCTTTTACACAGGAATGTGTGGGTAGAAACCACAGAATCCCCTCTCAAGTTGACTGGGCAGTCAGAAAAAAGGTATGTAAGTATGTAGCATACGTTTCAGCCACAAAATAGTTATGCAAGTCATGTAGCAAAACAGAATATAGACCAAAGTCATGAGCAAACAGGTCGCAAAGGAAAGTTCTGTAGCCGACAGTTCAAACAGATTTCAGACAGCTGCAGGCTCTTGAGGCATGCTAGAGATATGCAGCAAACCTTGGAGAGGCAAATCTATGTGTGCCCTTCTCAAGTTACTTGGGTAAGTTGCCCATAGTTACCATAGTTGTTGGGCGATGGTCATCAATCCATCTATTTGTGGGATTTACCCCACTTGAAGCAAACAAATTAAATAGACTTTGATGGTTTCGGCCCACCATGAATGTAGATCACTTTAAATGTGCCCCATGGGTTTTCCGCATCTTTTTACTGTTTGCCTCAGGGTATGAATTATACCCATGGCCAAATCATATAACAGTAAGGATGTCATGTCACAGGATGACAATACCATTTAGGGCCTCTTTACTACTCTATGGGATCCAAGAATAACATCAAATCAGCTGAAATGTCAAAAAATAACCTCAACATTGGGCCAAGAACATGACTCAAAAACAACGTCCTTTTCATTGAACCCTGTATATTGTGTTGGTGCCATATTTGTTCAAACTTCAACCATAATAACCATAAAGCCACAATCATGGGGCCCCCATGGCATACAAGAAGCATGACTCTTGAAAGCATGCCTCTGCTGGGGGGCCACATGAAGAAGTGATATTCCCCAACAAAATGTGACACGCAATGAACCCATTTAAATTAAACTCACTGTTCACCCAGGTTTCCTAAGCTTTGGGACGTCAGGTACACTTGTATAATCTTATGTACCCCTCTGGTAATCAAATTATGGCTTGCCAAAAATAAACAAAAAATGACTTGCAAAAAAAAACAACAAAATGCATGTTCATCAATTCATCATATATGTTCCCATTTTTTCGAGTTCGTTCCAGGGCTCGTTCCTGGAATGGCTTTGCCATGGCTTAAGCTGACGACCACCCCCCCGGATCGCTCCAGGATCCCATTCCATACCACAAACAGGCGATAATGTGGTTCACTAAGAGCATCATGATGAGGCCCATCACCACCTGCACTCCGGCACCAGCTTCGGAATCTTCGGAAGGAGATGGAACGATGTTTGCAAGAAAACACGCAACAGCACATGGAGAAACATCATGAAACATCCAAAAAACTATTTTGGACTTAGAAGAACTTGAGATGCCAAGTCCGAAGCTGAAAATCTGCAGCTTGGGCTGGGGGTTGGTGGTAGAATCAGGTCCTCTGTGATTCCAAGTCCAAGAATATGCCGGTAGGAAAATACCCTGGCAATGGAAAAACACCTTTGGGACAATATCTACACATGAATAGATTGTAGTAAACCCCAAAAAACATGTTCATAGAAGTGTTTCCAAGATGCTACTTCGATGCTTTGTACCTCATCTATTTGAGCAGTTTCCAACTTTTCGGCATTTTGGGGGGCCCAAGACCCCCACCTTTGCCACCATGAAGACATGAACCGACAGAAAACGGTTGGCCAGGAGAGTCAACTCCTCCGCAAGGACATCCGCGAAATCCACAGAATCATCAGATTTCCCATCTCATTGTTCCTGGGTTTTTCTAATATATGGTTAATATATGGTTAATATTGGTTAATATATGGATGGACATCTCAGAGGTAGTCCTCACTGGCTCACGGCATGATTGCCTGACATGAGATATCATGATTCTTGCGAGGTTGTCTGTGATTTGCGAGAAGTGAGCCACGCCAAAGGCCTCTTGACAATACTCCTGTGGATCAACCCTCATTGATCAACCCATCAACCCAGCAATCCATATTGTTGATAGTTAAGAAATAAAACATAAAAATCACCATCTAATAAATTGATGGTTAAGTTCCATCAAAATCCCATGGAAATCCCATGACATCCCCTCCTGCTGAAGCTTCACAGCACGAAGCAACCGCAGCAGCCGCAGCAAACGCATCTGCCAGGGCCGCTCTTTTGTGGCATTTTCAACGGAAAGTGAGGGGCATAACCGGCATAACCCCACCAGAAATGGATAGAAATGGTGATTTCATTGGATATTTCATGATGATGTTTTGGCGACAGAAAACCTACTTGGGGGTGCAGTTGAGGTGGATATAAGATGATGATTTTGGCATGGTTATAAAATGTTATAAACCCCCCCTAAGTTCGGATATAGGGCCCGTAAGCATGGTGAAATCTATGCATTTATAACCGGAACTGCACTTCCAACTACCTAGTCATTCTACCATATAGTTTGGTTTTAATGCGATTTAATGGGATTTAATTGGATTTAATACGATTTGATGGGATTTAATGGGATGTATATAATGGGATTAAATTTAGTGGGGTCCCAGTCTGGAATCGCCAAGTCAGTTTCTAAGTAGGCTATATAACTGTTGGGTTTATGGTGTAACTAACTGTTGGTGGGTTGACAGACAAACATAGCATTTTTTTGGGCACCACGAGTTACTTTGGTGAAGAATACATACATTTATAATATGTGTATAAATATATATAATATATTTGAAGGATATGATAGGCCATAACCCATAGTTTTGACGAAGGATATACATATACCAACTTGGATTTGCTGCCTACTAAGACACTCAATGTACCCATAAAAAAGATGCCAAAAGCACTGATATTATGTGGTATACTACAGCACCCATGTTTAGGGTGACACGTATTTCCGCGACCCTCGGGGCGTTGTGATTCTTGTTATCATGCTACATGGGTGGGGTGGCATACGGGATGGAAGACATGCAGCTGAAACTGTTTGTCGTCAAATGATCCAAACTGTCCAAACACATCATTCATGAACTAGCGAAAGGTGATGGGTTTCCGTACATTGTTAGGTAAAAAAAAATGGCAGGGTTGTGAAAACAAGTGTTACCATGTAAACATGGGTCAACAGAGAGTCGACAGGTAGTTATTACTTAATATGGCTGGTTTATGAGAAAGCCAACCATTAGTGGGGGATGATTTGGGATCCGATATGATGTCGTATGATATAATTTGGGATACCGTATGTTCCCATGTTGATTTGATATCTGGGTCCATGGAAACAAGCCCAGCAGTTTAAATCTAGAGTTTCTATGAAAAACTTCACGTTGAACTTGGTCGGGGTAGTTATGTGTATACAAATATATACATATTATGTACATATAGGAAGGACCAATATTGTTTTTTTTGGTGTATCTCAGATATGACTGGAAATTGTGTTCTTTTCTGCTTGATTATTTAATGTTTGAAATTGTTCAACTAGACCATATATCATCATATATCTAAGGAATCTAAGGCATAAAACCAGGCAATAACTACATTATCCACATGGACCTGTGTTCGTCATGAAATCCCAAAGAAAATCTCTGAAGTGATGGTCATCCTCTCACCATGGCCATGGGAACTGGATGAAGTGCTACAAAACTTCACGTATATCAATGGGAGGCTCGTGATCTACTTAAGCCATCTGGCTTTGTCTGAAAATCAGGGTACCCAGGTGTCACCAGGGTACCCCAAAATCCCATGGGTTAATAGATACCTCATGATACCCATTAAAAAGACCATAGGGGTTCACGCCCACGATGAGACAAACCCAAAATCCTATGTTTTGCCGTTAAATAGCCAAAATCCCCCCATGTTCCATCATTCAGCCAAATAAAAATCTCTATGTTTGGTGGGTAGGTGCCATAAAACCAGTATTCTTCACCGTTTAATGCAGTGTTTGTATGTGTTTCTATGTGTTAAAATGTCCATTCTGGTTGGTGCATCCACCATTCAACATTTAGGGCCGCGAGCCGTGCGGAGGAAGCGAGCAGAGCGAAAGCCGTCGCTGGTTTCCTGGTGCACTTGGGATTCCGCTGGGATTCAATGGGGATTTCATGTGGGTTTAACTGTTTAACTAATGGACATCAATGGGGATATTCCAAAAATGGTGGTACCCCCAGTTCTCACCCATTTTTGGGACTGGGATTTTCCATGAAATCAACCATGCGTTGATGGGAGTCCCCCACAACTAGCATCAACTAGCCACAATTGTGGCAACTTCGCTGCCTCCCCGAAGAATTCCACCATCAGCAGTGCCACGTCAATGGAAACCACCGCAAGGTCCAAGAAGAAGTAGGAACCTTTTGCCAATCCAATGGTCACCATCAAAAATATGGGCCATTTTTTGCCCAATGTCACCCATTTTGGGTCAAAAAAAATTGGGGACTGATCAAAACCTACCCCCCCAAAAAAAAAAACGAAGTCAGACTGGTTGATGTTCACTTTTGAACTAGCCCGTGAAGATATCAGGTTTTTGATCAGCCCACTGGGATCCATAACCATGTCACTGGCTGAGGTTTCTCACTGCTCAGAGTCCCAAAGTTTGATGAAAACATGATCTGAAAGGAAAGCGGTTCTAAATTGCTTGGGGTGAAACTCCTATGGAATCCTTTGATGATTTTCCGTTAAAAACGATCTTCAAACCTCCAGAGTTTCAGAGTTCAATGAGTTCAATCCAAGATTTCCATGGAATCCAAGACTCCTAGGGTTTGTTTTTCCATGTTTTTCCCATCCAAATCCATGAAATCAACAGATCTCTCAACTCACATTGATCCGAGGTGCGGCAATAGATCCTCGCCAAGGGCAGGATGCGCATCTCCGTCTTCCCCTGTGTTTCAACGCCAAAGAACAGGTTCATCGGCCTCAGAATGCTGGAAGTTGCTGCCTTCAACTGGGAAGTTGGAACAAAGAATGACCTGAATGGACCTTGGTCATCGTTGAAGAATGGTTTATGATGGATGACAAAGGGCAAAATTGCTTAACTGATGTTAAGTGAGAATGGTTTCGTAGTTATGCTGTAGCACCATGGCAATTCAAAAGAAATCTGGAGAAGTTGACGACGGTTTGTCGTCGACAAGGGTTTCTCTGCTTGCTTGGTGCACGGTTGGCGCACCGCTCGGGCCGCAAGGATGTCTTGTGATGGTAATGAATAATCATTATTTAAAAAGAGATATGTTAAGACATATGGTTGGATACTAAAATATTAACAATAATGTCTGACATAATGTTTGTCAAATGTTATGATTTATCATTATAAGACATTATTGTATTGTCATTGGTATAATGGTTGTGCAATAATAGTGAATAAGTCTGATGAGATTATCATGATTAATCATTCTTAACTTGTTTCATGAGCTATTCTTGACCATTATTGACCATTAGCAACTATACTATCAACCATTATTAATCATTCTTAACTATCATTAATCATTATTAATCACGAATGATCACCAACATATGTCCATCCTCAAGGTGGCTCCAAAAAACGAGGCCCACTTTGGCCCTTTTCCTGAGACAACCAGATCGCAACGCTCCAAGCGTCATATCGAGCATCCAAAATCCCATGGTTATCCTCGGTGAGGAGTCCAAAAACGGTTTAGATATGTTTACCCTCTGGTAATTTAACGTAGCTATTGAAAATGACCATTTATAGTGGATTTTCCCATTAAAAATTGTAATTTTCCATAGTTATGTTAGTTTACCAGAGGGTAGATTAGGCTTGAGTCATGGAGTCCATGGCTTTGGTGTCCCGAATCCGGAGACTTGGAGTCACTTGGAGTGGATTCCTCTCATATCTTAACAGTCTTAACAGCAACAACGTCAACCCTAACCCCCCCAACCTTCAAACACCTGCTTTGTTGATCCCCTAAAAATTGACAACCTTTTAAGTTGGACACTCGAGGTGTTTCCCCATCTGTCACCGGACAACTAGAAATCTAGTTGTGAGAAGTTGTGAGTGGCCTGCCCGAAAAGGCGACGAACATCCAGTTGCGCAACATAGTTCATGATAAAAAGAACGTGACATACGAGTACCTTTTGGTACTCTCACGTCGCTACCGGTATTTGAAATTACCATGTCAATAGGAAATCGTTTTTTTATAAGTGGGCCGTTTTCCATAGCTCTGTAACAAACTACCAGAGGGGAACCATCAACTTCCCATTTTTCCTGTAATATTCCATGAGTATTCCCAGCCCACCCAAAAAATGGCCACCTCGGCCATGGCTCCGACCCATGACGGTGAAGATACCAACTTGGTCCGAAAGCTGGAAAAACTCCAGGGGGATGGTGATCAAGTCCTCTAGTGATGGCGGGGATTTTTTGGACCCCAGGGACCCCAAAAAACCCCAAAAAACCCCAGGGATCTGCCCAAAGGCCATATTTCGGAAAAATCTGGGTGCATCATTTCACTGGCCATCTCAGGAACCTAAATTGGAGGTACCTACCATATATAAGGCCTTTTTTTAAGGCCTATGTAAGTGAATATCCCAGCATCATTGTTTTTTTCAAGTTTCTTTCCCCCTTTTTTTTCGCAGACAAACATCAGATGGCCAAGATGACCATCGGCTCACCGGCTCACGCACTTCGGAGTCCACCGAGTTGAGCAAAGCCCATGAAGAGAGTGATGTTTTTGGTGGGTAAAGCCGGTACAGCCATAGATTTGACCATCACCATCAGCCATAAACTCATAAACCATCCCCAAAATCACCATCAATGGGTGTTATGAACCATGAGAATATGGGTGGCTTCTTATTGCTTTACTAATATTTTGCTTTGCATTTCTCTGATGATTTGTAGGTACAGTGATTTGTACCCAACCATTGACTATTATTTTCCCAGAGTAATACCGTAACCCTCCCCACGTTCAAAAACAAACGATGTGCAGAACAGACATCTGAGATTCATCTGATACCCTGCAAAATCTCCGACACAACGCCAGCCCAGTGACATATGGAATAGCCCAGCTAGATTAATGTCATACCAGTATGCCCCAGTTAGATTTTGCATGGCTCACAAACTTAAAAAAATAAAAAACAGTTTCATTGTTGGTGATTTTTTGAAGGTCCACCGGCATTTCTCTATGGTTTATAACCCATGGCTTCCCACATGTTTCCCACATTTTTGTGCCCCCGGTCCCATAGGATGAAGAGAGATCCCAGCAAGGTCCACAACATCTGCGGCTTGCTGCGTGGCGGCAGGACCAAGCGCCCCAGGCAGGTGTCTTCCCAGAGGTACTCGTTCCTGGCCAGGGGCGATTTACATGGGGATGGGTCAAAACCCTGGTACCTAGTGAACCCCAAGTCATAGCTGGGATTTATGGATGTTCATCCCACTAAAAATGTATCTATAGGTATTGACCCATACCCATATATATATATACATATAAATGTGTATTATTTTGTATCTGTGTATATACAGTACATATTGTTTGTGTTTGTGTACGGATGTATGTATAGTGTATATGTATATATACAATTATATACACAGTATGATTATGTGTGTGCGCCATGTAAGTATACATGCATATTCTATATACATACATCAAAAAAACACTGTTGATACCTATGTAGATACATCATTAAAGATCTATGATGAAAGTTGGATTCCCGGGCCAAATTTCGCCAAAGCCGCAGAGAAACCTTGTGGAGTTTAGCACGCGACTATCAATGTTGAAATGGAACATGTATACGTCTGTGTGCAGTGTAACTTTTCGTGTTCTTGACATCATGAAGTTAATGTCCCAAGGATTCCAAAGGCCCAAGCTTACTAAGTAATTGATCAATTGGCAGTGTGTCAAAACCTGGTACCCCTTCGGTGAACATCAAAATAGCTGGGATTTATGGATGTTCATTCCCCTAAAAATGGTATTAATAGGTATTGATCCATAGCCAATTGAGTTCATACAATCCTTCCACCAGAAAACCGAGGCCCATAGGTGGCCCATAGGTGACTTGCATGACTTGGATGTGTTGCCATCGCCGGGTACTTGGATCCACCGGACATGAAGTTTTGGTCGGAAAAAATGTCGTCTTGGCCTCTTGGCTATAGAAAAAAGGAGAATCTCATCAATGGTTGGCTTCATCTCCCTATTTCTTGGCTTTACTGAATCACATCAAATCGGCATCTTTAGTGAATAAATCATGTTAAGTCCCCCATTTTGGCTGGTTAAATCCCTATTCTTGATGGTTCTATTTCTCGCCAGAAATGGCTCGAAGAAGCCACGAATTTCACCAACCAAAAATTGCCGAGAATCATCTTCAGGCTGTGGGTCTTACGCACAGAGCCCATCAGGTTGCGACTACGATGTGTCTTTGAGGCTTCCTGTGAGGAGAACTGGTTGCGACTTCTGCATGGACCAAAGGGATGAAAGTCCATAAATTCTAGTTTTTTGTTGTGATCGTTTGATGGGAAAAGCAATGGAATACCTAGGGTCTTGCCCCATCCCCGTGTTGGTTCCAAGGTTTCCAAGTTACCCACAGGCTTTGGTCGTGTCTTAGCATTGCCTCTCTTGTTTGAAGAAAAAGATTGGATATACCACTGATACATACTGATACTATCTTGGTCGGATTCAATATTTTTGCTACCAATCTATTTTTCTTGCTGGGATTTCCTAACCTCCATTTTCGACTTGATCCAGCCCAATTTTAGAATCAACATCCTGCGTTTTTTCCCGTGTAAACCCAATTTTGGGTGGAAAACACCAGGGGGTAAAATACCTTCACTTTCTAAATCCCATTACTGTCTATATTGTCTATTTACGACACAACAGAACTTCTCATACGTATCATTCAAGTTCACCAAAATCAGACTCGGATCCTACTTGGAAGTGCATAACTTCGTGAACCATTCGTGGATTTCACCATATTAACAGAAAGGGGATGATATCCCTTTAGTCTTTCCCTTGGTTACACCCATTACATGATCTATTGGTTAATCCCCATGGTTCGTGGTAAAAAGATGCCCATGAAGAATCCCATAAAACTCACCCAATGGTTTTTCCCGGCCAACCCCAGGTTTTTTTCAACTCTCAGCGCAGCCTGCCATGAGATGTTCCATGCAGGTCGCAACTGCAGATCTTCCTGCGGATGGAGGTTTTAAGGTTTTGACAGCAATGAAATATTAATAGTAATGTTTGTAGTAATTATGATAGTAATATATTATATCAATAGCAATTATGATGATAGTAATTTTGGAATTATGATAGTAATCTGATATAATCTGATAATATAGTAATTATTGATAGTAATATACGAGTTTGTTGTTCTCTGGTGTTGTTTTTGCTTCCTGGATCTGGAGGATAGTGATCATCAAGAATAACGCTAGTAAATATAGAACTTTTTGTGTTGCTGTTTCCTGGATATTTTTGTTATTAGTTATGATAATTTAGTAGTGATGATAATCTTATGATATCTCATGATTATAGTCAATTATGGTAATCACGATTTAGAAAAATTAAAATAAATCTTATGACAGTAATATGATGATTTCACACATATGTGGTCAGTCGACCTTTCCTTATTGACTCACTGAAGCACAACATTCGGCAAGTTCCACATCCCCAACCAGAAAAAAAAAACGCGGTTTGAACAAATTGCAGGTGAACAAGCAATAGTATGATAGTAGTATTAATAATAATATAATAGTAATAGTAATATGATTTAATAGTAATATATAATATGATAGTAATAGTAATATGATATAATACGATTGTATGATAATCACTACTAAAATTTGACAGCAATATGATAAAACGGAACTCTAAATTCCTGCATCATTATGATAGTAATATGATTATAATATGATCATGTTCACCGTGATGGTTTCTACTGGATCATTATTTCTGGATGTTAAATTTCTATGATGCTATATTATATGGTTATCGTACTACTGCTATGTATCATTTCTGGAGAAAATGAGAATCAATGATCATGATAATAACTGTTGTCACTGTGATGATAGCAAATTATAGTTAGTAGTAAGATGTAGTAAGTATGATAATAACAGTGACTGATATGTGCCATGGTCAAAAGATAGTATATGGCTTCTAGTCCTCCCACCATTGTTGGCAATCCTATGAAGTGGTCAGTAGAATTCCCTATGGATCGATGACCATCCCACAATATGGATAATTAACAGGGAAATCTAATGCATTATCCATTGATGACAGGGAATTATGATATCATAGTGGATTATATATCCGATTTAATCCAGCTTTTTGACTGTGACCGTTCTGATACTAATGTAATTAACAGTGGTGATAATCATAATCATGCATCTTGGTGATAGAAACTGTTATCACGGTTGTCATTATGATGATCATGTGACAATGAAATTATTGATTGAGATACTAATGGTAAGAAAAATAATGAAAGTTAATAATGCTCATGGATGATCATGGATCAGAATAATAATCCCTAATGGTTCATAATACTGGCTAATTATGATGATAACCAAAGATAAATAATTGATCCTAAATCTGAACACATGGAACCCAAACACAAAATGCCGATGTCCCTGTCAAAAAGTAAAATCGTCTTTGGAAGCTGAATGCTCCGGGGCTGCATGGTAAATTTACGGGGTATTACGGTATAAGGAGAACTGCGAGAGAAATGATGAAACCACCATATCTGGTGATATTTTGAACCCTTCGGAGGTGATCTTCGATAACATCCCCCTTTCTTCCCGTCGCATGTGTTGCTTAGGAAAATCCCCATTGTTTCCTGGATATCTCATGGCTTCTTCCTTGCAACATGTTTTCCATAAAATTCCAATCTCACCTTGCTCAAGTCAACTCAACTCTTCTATTCAGAATCACCCAAGAACCAGAACTAGACTTCGAAATTCCAAGTGTTTTCTAGGCTGCACCAACTCCATACCTAGTAAATCAGCTACAAATATGGGCTTGTCTGGAAATATGGTACCCTATGGTACCCTTCAATTTGATGGTCAATCATCATTTTTCCATTCACAATGGCCATTTTGCAGGTCTACCATGGCATTTTCAGACACAGCCGAGCATCATTAATTGTTGCGTATAGCAAAATCCCATTAAGCCCTCTAAAAATATCCCATATTAAGTGGCTGCTTTAACCCATGAATTCTACAAATTCTACAAATCAGATCCATTCCAAACCTTCGCTCCAGCATTGGTCCAGTCCGTCTCGGCCCGCCTCATCCACGAAACGGTCCTCTTCAAGCGCCAGCTGGGCCCGCTGGCTATCAGCCTGCGATGAACCCAACGAAAATCTGGTGTTTCTTAGGGACTTGAGAAATATGTGATAATATGTGTGTTGAATCATTGCATCATTAGATATAAAATGATATGAATACTATTACTGTGTACAATCATCAAAATGGTAACTTGCAAAATCTGTGCAGGTTTCCCCCTAATATTGAATACCCCCCAACTCGAAATTCTAGTTCAGTATTGGAGTTGGATATCCTGGAGATTGGGCCAGATCCTGGACCCAGTATGACCCAGTGAAGGGCTGGAGATCCATTTTCTTATGCAGTGAGAGTTGTTTTTTTCACTTGAGAGCAAACAAATAATCACAGAAAAACGGGAGAGAATCATCCACGAAAGAAGATAAATCAATTCATAACAAACAGTTCCCAGTGCGGACGTTGAATAAACGTTTTTTGCCATAGCTCTCATGGGTCACCATTGTTTTTTCCCCGGAGCCTGGGAGCCTCCAAAACACGATCCGTTCCCACCGGGTTCCCACCGCACCTCACCATAGAGCAACCGCAAGGTGAACTTCTGCCATTGCATGCCTCAGAAGACCCTTACCCGGGGGATCCTGGTTGCCCCAAGCCAGACATCCGCGCAGAAAAAGTACGGTTGAGTGAACCTGCTTTGTTTGGTCATCTCCAAGCTATTTATTTGGGATAACATGTATGAATAAATAAATACATGTGTATATATATATATATATATAATACATGTGATTTAAATCATGAATTACAAGTTGTATAAGTATGTATAAGTTATTACATACATATAATATGACTATTTGGCATCGCGAAAGGGGGATATCATCTGACCTTGGTGAAGGTCACAGCAGTTTCAAGTTCCCAGAATTGGCCTCCGAAAAAAGAAGCTAGGGCGGCTCATGCCCACTTCTTTGCCGAAAATCCCACCGAGTTCGAAGTTTGGACATGGCACACTTGGCATAGCCACTCTCAAACTCCGTCTCACATTGTTGGTCGTCGAAAGTGGCTGTGTGGTATTCCATGGGAACCATCCTCAGGGCTGCTGCCAAAGTGCAAGATGAATATGATGTGAATATGTAGCCATAAAGGCTGACAGTGTTTTGTCAAATTGATATCTTTCTGGTTGTTTCTGATTCTATACAGTGAATTCATGTCTTAAAGCTATCCGTTGATTCATGGGAAACTTACAAAGTATATACTATATAATGCCAGGATTGCTCCCAATACCCCAGCTAACCTTGGGGGTGGTTTAATGGCTAGTTAAAGAGGTCATATGACCCATTTCCCCGCTGGTGGCTATAATTTACTTTTGGAGGTGAAGAAATTTGCAGGACGTGAAGTTGTTTGGTTGGCTCTGAGACCATCAATTCAGCTGGTTGCCTGGCTATGGGTCGAAACCCTGGTCCTTTTTTTCACACCAAAATAGATGATAAATAGATATTCATCCCCTCATGGCAATATAGGTCTTGACACATCGCCAATTAGACAATGACAATCCATTTTGACTTTGGCAAATACCATGGCAAATACCATGATCTTGAGTCAGAGAAGCACCTGTACCTCCCTCCACCTTTTTTTTTAAATACCCCCGATCTAGATCACCGAAAATAAATATATCATATCATGGATCCAATACTGAACCAGAGTTTCTCGGGCGGTATCTTTTTTGGGGGAAGAGATTCTGCGACGGCGGTTTGAAAGTTTGAAGACTGGAGGAATGATCAGCTGGGATTTACTGGGCCTACAGACATACTTCTACCTGGATGGTGCAACAAAAGCGTTGGCCTTTTATATGTGTGCCATCATTGCTGTATCCAGGATGTTACAGGTACAGACGGTACAGATTATATGTGCTTCATAGTTGCTTCATTTTTCAGGTTTCCCACGTTTCTATCTTTTTTGGCCCCTCCCTCATCTCCAAGAAACCGAATACCAACATCTTCATCATCTATGCTGCCTCGAGCATCAAGTCCTGGAAGGAGTGAAGGTTTACCCTCTGGTAAACATACAAAAAACTATAGAAAATCACCATTTTTCAGGGGTAGATCAACTATAAAAATGGCAATGTTCAATAGCAAACTGTTGGTTTACCAGAGGGCACCTCTGGACACACTGAAAATGGAACCAGAAAAAAGATGCCTTGGAATTCGAAGTCTCTGCCATAGCAATCTGTCGGGGTCCCCGCCTCGTGGGTCATCCTTAGCCAGGCAAAACGTGAGATCCACTTTTCGCGCCACTTCCAACCTTCATTCGGGCGGTGACGGGCGGTGAGCAAAAGATTTCAGCTAGATAAGGACCTCACAGCGATCCTACACATGTTCGCTATGATCAGTTGATCAATCCGTTTTCATGCGAATAAATGGGGTTAGATAGATGGTTACAGATGTATATGCCCCAATCACTATCAGTCGGATAATTACTACTCGTTGAACGCGACCATTTATGACCTAGAAACCAACCACAGGAACAAAGGACAGGACGGAAGCTGACGTGACCCACTGATACCCCGCTTGGCGGTAAGTACAGTGTACAGTATCTTATCTTCCCAGTTATAGCAAGATAGCCACCAACTATCAAAACTTAACCAGTCGATTTATAGGAAGATGGTTCTCTGCAGTTGTGACGAATCCGCAGTTCATCCGTTTTGTGGGTCCAAAGTTATTGTGACCCCGAAATTCACCAAAATAGCTAGCGCATATTCCAAGAGGCATAGAAAAAGGCATCAAAAATGTACATGCATTATATAGTTTTGCATATTCACATGTACAGTATAGGATTTACACACTTGTTTCCACATGTATGGATAGACAACTGTACATAAAAATATATACCTTTTGCTGGCTAAATTCTCATCATTTCCAGCGAGGTCCTGACATACTTCTGACATACCGCTGACATAGGTTGGCTGGGATTACCATGGTGATCATCATCCCCAATAAACCAGGCAGCTTAATAACAACACAGATTTATATGATAAAAACATAACCTGTGCTCAACTGGGCCAACTAGTCACTGCTCATGTGAGCTTGTCTGAGGCACCAACATTTGATCATGAATCCGTCATCATTTTCGGGGCTATACTGTCCCATGTTAACATCCCCATGATAATATATCCCCCATTGTGGCTTGCCCCATCTTTACTGGTTGAATCCCTGTGCTGGATCAATCCCTCCTGTTGATACCACTAACGTTCCTTTGCACGAAATAATCGATATCAAACTGGTCAAACCCCGATCAGTACCCTTCTGCTCACATCACAGTCTCACATTTTCTGGAAGATCAGAGGTTTTGAGCCCTTACCACATCTGGGTTTCAACATAATGAACTATACCCAAGAACAATATGGCCAAGTATATCCATGTATATCCCTATATATATTCCACTATTGGTCGGTCCAGTCACCTTTGTATTACCTACAGGTGCGAATGGGAATATCCATTTAATCCTGATTGGTTTCCTTAACAGGATTAACATAGGATTACCTAGTTCATGGATTATGGTCATCCCGAGTCATCCCCAACAAAAATAACTGCTAACTAAAAATCAACCAATTGGGGATACCCTATATTATATATGGTAACATGATTTAACATAGCTATGGAGAATGGTCCATGTAAAGATGATCACCTCCAATTTCCATGTCAATTTCCATTTCGGATACCCTGGGGTTTCCACATCCGCCAGGGGACTGGTGCTGTTTCAACAGCACCTCCTGAAGCTTCGTGAGCTCCTGTGTTGAAAAACAAAAACACTGGGAATTCTCTGGGATTTAGCAGAAACATAGCAGAAACCAACGAAACAAAAAAACATTTTCTTTTTTGGGGGGGCGTACAAAGTTTACGGTCGCCGCAAAGTGGAACTTCACCAGCAAAAGTCGGTCTGTTTTCACAGGGAAACCAACAAGGCCAATTTTTTCGGTGAAAGAGCGATGGCTCCGCGGTGACATTGAAGCAGCCAAAAGCATTGCAAGGAAAAATTGAATCTACAAAGAGGACTTAAAGAGACAGCAAAATCAGCAGTGTGTCAAAACCTTGTACCCCTGGTGAACATCAAAATAGCTGGGATTTATGGATGGTCATTCCCCTAAAAATGCTATTAATAGGTATTGATCCATACCCAAATCAGCAAAGAGTTGTGAATCTACGTCAGACGGGTCAAATCCTCCAAGCTGCAGAAGCCAGCAATCCGGGTGGCTCCACCCGAGGGCTCGGAGTATTACATAACGAATCTATACCAGCTTGCTAATTAATATTGAATATATTATATAATATATATATATATAATATATATATAGATATATATATAGATATATATATATATATACATCATATGTATACAATACACATACATATATGTGCATCATTATATACATACGTATATATATATGTATACAAAGTGTATACGGTACATACGTGTATCATATCTACATGTAAGTATATAGCAACCTCCAAGAAAAAACAGAAAGATGCTCCAGGATGGTACAACTGTTCCAATCCCAGCCCCCTTTCATATCAAACACCCCCATTGTATGGTCGTTTCATCCCCTACATCCACCACTGGCAGGTTTTTCATATGAACGTGATGGGACCAACACTATGAGCCATTAGCCACGACTGATCATTATACATAAACCATCAACATCCATCAACCATGATTAGCCACTATTAACCTAATATCAACCATTACTAACCGAACCATTACTAACCACTACTAACCATTTTTTCCCTTGCCATGCATTCAGTCGCAGACAATTGCAACTCAAAAGAATGCTTCGGCGCTTGGCATGGTCTCATACTACTCCTTGTCTCGCTGCCCGTAGAATGTTATTGTTTTGAAAAGGGTCCCCATCATCTGGGCAAATTATAATAATTCACTAATCTGAATTAAGGCCATTTGGGGATGATTCCCCTTACTAACTATGATTTCCAGGGCTCGGGAGAACAGTGAGGTCGTTATTTGCTTTGCCCAGCCATCATAGTCTCTGTGGCTTCTCCGTGGATGATTTCGTTGGACCATGTTGGACCAATGGGAAATCCAGGATCCTAAAACGGAGGTACTGTACCATATAAGGCCATATTTTGTGGGGATATATATGGTTGGTACCTCCAATCTAGGATCCTGAAATGGCCATTGAATTGATGGCTTCAGCACTATCTGGCTGGTATGAGACTTGTCTGCGGGGGTCAGAATTTGGCGCACGTAAAATGTGTCCAGCCAACCTTGCTCGCCTCTCATCTAATTCTCGTGAAAAAGGTTTTGCTTTCTTGATGGGCTGATTAGGGAATGCAGCTTGAGAGGTGAGCTCATGGACCCTCGAATTTGTATTGCGCCTATCTATATACGTCGTTGAAAAAAAAAAAGGAATTCTGCGCAATCCCCTCAGGTGGAAGGCATCCAGCTTTTTGCGCAGCGACTGGGTCAAATGTATAGTTTCAAGGCTATAGCATGCTATAGCAATTTACTCCTAATCAGTGCATCATATATAAGGAGCTGCCATTTCTTATTTGTGGTTAGATCCTTCCAAAACAGGGATAACCTATTCCATGTGCGCTTTGTATCTTGAATGCGTTGTGGAACTTCTCTTCCGAGGTCTATGGTTTTACCCATCTTGAAAAATATTAGTCAATGGGAAGGATTATCCCATATATTATGGAAACGAAAAAATGTTTGAAACCACCAACCAGGTATGGTTGAGGTTCTTTCCTACCATTACTAACCACCATTATCTGCGTGCTTTGTTTTTAAACAACCGTTTCTCCCCAACCGGCCACCGGTCCTGACGCAAGATGTTCTCATACTCCGATGGTCGCATCTCGGGGGCCGGCATGGCGCCAACGCGGAATGCCGGAAAAAGAGAGCGCCAAAGGCCAGGGGTTCCCAGGTCTTTGGGAATAGAACAGCTGTAGATAGATGTAGCTTGTAATAGTTGAAGTCAGAAATATGGATCCCTGTTGACTGCAAATTCTTGTTGACGTCGTCACAGTGATTGCTATTAGGATGTCTTGTTTTTGGATATTTCTGGGGCACAGCTAGTTCTCCAAGCAGCGTAGAAGCGATGAGCCAAGAGGCAACTGGCAAGCAGAGAAATGGCAGGAACATCTGAGGTCCTCAAGGCCTTGAAATCACCGGGAGATCGAACAGGAAAAAATGACCACATCAGATTTAAACTAGCAGATTCATTCAAGCAGATTTCCAAGGTTAGATCAATTCCAATCAGATGTCCAATTTCTATTAGATCATGATTCATCTATCTTCAACTATGGAATAGAAATTGAATAGAAATCTGAGTTAAACAAACACCACAGCACAAACGTATCATCCTGCGTGCAAAAAGTCCTGCTTGATGTGGCTGGTGTCTGCACTCACCCATGCAAGTTGTGAATTGTGAAGGTCAGTGTATAACTGGAGAGTAGGTATATACGCACATATAGACAAGTAAATATATACTTGTATTCTAGACAGAGAGAGAGAGAGAGATGTATGTGCATATATGGAATGTAGTCATAGGTTCACACTAAGTCCCTATATCTGACTGCGCTTTTTTCCTTGCGTTCAGTTCAGCCCCGAAATATTACGAAGTTCATATGGATCAGTCGTAGCAAGTAGGGTTTTTTTCAGACTGATGAACGTTCGAAACCACCAAGCCTGCAGTGATCTGGATGATCTACAATCCCAAACCTGATTGACGCAGTACAGTTGATGAGTTCCCCTTTCCAATGAACCATGAGTCGCTTGGTCGCTTGAGGTCCCAAGCCAGCCAAAGTGCCAGTTTTGGTAGCAACATCCCACCCTGGATCAACACAGCCTAGGAATCAACCACTCTCTGATGTTTTGAGGCTAATCCCATCTCTATGAGTGACATCCCCATCGTTCTTTTCTTTGCGCTCATCACCAAGAAGTCTTGAAGATCTTGAAGCTTCGCCACCCTTTCTGAATCGCGGCCGCATTCAAACGTCCTGCCCGATACATCGCTAGTCACTAGCATCATCCGCTCAGCCTGATTGGCGCCATGACCAGACTCCCAAATGCTGTTCCATTTTTGATGGCTGGGGTGCTTTTACCAATGATGAGCCATTCTAGGGTACGATCATCATTTTCAGATGCTACAACCATTGATTCCTAAAATGGTGAATGATGGCTGGCCAAAATAACACCGAGCCTGCGAGTTTGATATGAGGCGGATGTTTCTTCGAAATGGATCGCGCAGCTTGCATCACCAATGCAACCATGATAATTTGAGACGTTGCTCTGAAAATCACCGCTATTACTCTGCAAACAGGCCATTTGCTATCGCTATAGTTGGATTACCGCGATAGCACTCTCGGTTTCCGTTGCGTTCAAGGTCGCATGATCACATGAACCACTAGGCCACTAGGTTTTTCCACCGGATGACCTTCATCTTTGGCCCACGCAACCCGAATGGCTACAGTATGCGGCAAAATGATCTGAATGTGATTATGGAGCATTATGGATAGTTTCAGATCCTCATCTTATGACCAATCTGATATACATACATACATATATATATATATTATACATATATTATAGTTGTATATATATAATGTAAAGTGGGTCCAGTTTAACAGACACCCCAATGACACCCCAATGACACCCCAATGACACCCCAATGACACCCCAATGACACCCCAATGACACCCCAAGAGCCAGGCCTTGGCGTCGAAGTTCAAACCCCACCTGAGTCAGATGGGGGTACTTCATCAACAGACATTCAACTATACATTGGAAAAGACACGTAGAGTCTACGACGCGTGGTTGTACGATGTGTTTGTTTGACGCGTTTTTCCAAGAAAACATGAATGTACATCATACAACCATCTATCCTCATCTATACATATATATATATATATATGCGTGGTTCTGGTATATAGAATCACCACGTTGTTCGTCATGCAGGGATGAAGCAAAATGATGAAAGCCCCGCTACTGATGCCCATGCAATGCTGATGGGTTTACCCCTGGGTTGGATGGTTGGAATGCCCATGGTTTCGTGTCTTCAACCCATCTGTTTCATGGTCAAACCATGGTATATAGGGTTCCTCGTCATCCATCCAATGATGGGAGCCTTTACAATTGGCTGTGAATCCCGATGAGTTTATGTGTGGATTAAGTACCATTGCCCAAGAACTGGGCGGTTTGCCTAACTTTTGACCATGGAACGTATTATTCCGTGTGTGTATATATATATAGTTATATTGAATGATAATATAATTTATGTATCCCATGATATTCCATTACATCTCATGATATCCCACTGTATCCCATCACTGTATCCCATCATATCCCCAAAAACTGGTCGGCTCAAGGCTTTATACCATTAAATCCCATTGAATCCCACTAAATCCCATATATTCCCAATAAGTTCCATAAAACTATATAACCCATGTGTTGTTGGCTGAATCCCACTAAATCCCAACGACATCCGATAAACCTGCCTCCTTTCACCTTCTCCAGTGCATCTTCAGGAGCCTCAAAGAGGAACATGTGGGGGTCACTGGTGGCTAAAAATCAAATACATGTTGAATTATGGTGAATTACTACCAGGCAACAACACCTTGTGAACTCAGTGATTAGAAACCAGACTCCACAAGTGGAGTGATGTGTTTACCGCTGACCCCCAGTCCTGACAGATGGCCGCTTTCTCTGCAGAGCTGGGAGTCTCCTGCCGATGGCCGAAATGGAAAGGGCTGTTGTGAAGTGAAACATCAGCGGAATGGGGCATCCTCAACATGCAAACACGCCGGATAGAAGCAGCTAGAGTGACATTGGATGTATCCTGCATCTCAAATATCATAATATATATGTATATACATATAATATTATATATATATACATAATATCATGTATATACATATCGCACCTTGTGAGTATGTAGGATCAACCAATACAATACCGTGTTTTCCTGTGCATGTTGTTCAAATGGTCCTGGCACAGCATCTGCTGGAAACAATATCATCAGGTACCCTGGTGAGCCCCCCCAAAAAAAAACATGGGTCAAGAATAGTCAAGATATGTCAATGTGAAGATGGGGTACTGCCTACTGTTGTCAAAAGAAAACTGATTGGCTGAACGGTTTTTGTTGGTCAATGATTGGCCCTGCTAGCCATGAGCTGTCTGTCACCTTCCCCGTTGGATTTCAGTCTGATCCTTTGCATGTTGGATTGAAAAAAGTCCACCGCGACCAGCGACCAGCTCTCCTTGTAATTCACAAAGGCCTTGTAAATCAAGGCCTGAGGTGAGCACCGGCTGAAAAACGAGGCTTGATGGACATTTCTTGATTGAATCTGGGATGTGCCCAAGAAATCTCACACGCTTGAGACTTCCACACCTTGGGTGAAATGAAAAATCCTTAACATGACCAGACTATGTTCAGGGTCCCAGGGCCTAGAAAAACTTGAGCTGAGCCCAATTGAGGACCACAGAATCCTATCCCCCTATGTATAATGAAAAATACACCTCAGAAACTCTACTTCAGTGTTGGATTTCCTTATGTGTGAGGCCCATACAAAGGTATTTATTATTTTGAGGCTGGATTAGGTGCGGAATCACGCAGAGTGTTGGGGCGTTTGACTGGAAACGCCGATCAAGTACGGTGAATGCAGAGGCCCGTGGACTGAATTGAGCGTCAAAAACCCCGTTGTGAACTGCTTCTACTGGTTTGTTTATGATTTTATGGCTATTGGATTGGCTGATGATTTTTTTCAACAGGTGAGTAGAATCCCAGCGTTCAACGGTGCTCTCGGAGATGCCATCATGATTTGGTAACCCAACCGGTGGATGGTTTCAACATGGTTAAAATGCCCCGAAGAATGAAATCATGTGGGATGATCATCACACTTGTTGGGATGGACATGAAATATCATGAAATCGGTGACATCTTTCTCGCTGCTTGGGGGAAGAAACAGGCGAATCGCTGGGACTCCGGCAGAGAACACGAGTCCCAGACCCGTCATCTGAAGCTGGGTGATGGAGTGGCCATACCTCCGATCCAGGATGATCCTACTGTAACTGGTTAGCCGTGGCTTATCCCATGTGGCTTGCAACATGTTATAACTTTTAGCTTAAAAGCCCCCTTACTAAGCAGACACTAAGTGGGATTATACTCCAAGTACTACCCAATTTATATAGAACGTAAACGAAGTTCACAGATCCTACATCGCACCAAATAGCTGAATAGATTCAACTGCAAATGATTCTTGACTTTGCCTTGCTCTCAGTGATCGGAGGGTATGCATCCACACTGAGAGCACTACCCTGCATATCAATGAATAAACCGTTGGTGGTTTCAACCCATCCCACAAATGTTCTGTAGTCATGTTGGATCATCATCTCAAACATGCTACGGAATTTAAAACATATGTGAAACCACCAATGACCAACCAGATAATTCGTAGTGGCCACCTGGGCTTTGAGTCTGAAGTCCGTCCATGCGCTAAGCATTCGACAAGGCATAGGAACCAATGATGGAACAGACCTGGCACAGTTGGGCGCAAATTGGGATGTGAAAAACCCCAAGCAGCTAGGCCAAAGCTCCAACTTTCCAAATCGCAACCATCGAAATCCCATCGAAATCCTTTCAAAATCCTATTTCTTTGATGGTTCCATCCCATTATACATACATATATATATATATACATATATATATATATATGTATATCCATTTAAGATCATTTACATCATCTGAAAATCCCAGCCAAAAAAAAGGCCATTCCCCTCCTTGCCGGCCAGAAAAACTTCCAACCTGTCGCACATTCATCGTTGCAGCCATGGTCACGGCTCCAAAATCCTGGACCTGGCTCTTTCGTGGGTGACCAATGGCAGCGGTATCGGTGCTACAAGCAGCAAGACATCTGTTCATAAATGTTACCCTCTGGTTATTTAACATAGCCATGGTATAGATGGCCCATTTATAGATGGTTTACCTATTATAAATGGTGATTTTCCTTGGCTATGTTAAATAACCAGATGGTAATCCCTTCCCCCTAATATAAAACACCCCTTTAGAAACCATGGTTTAGTAGGGAAATTCCACATCATTGGGACTATTGATGGGGTGTTTAATATTAGGGTGATGGGATTAACAATAAATGGCAGTGTACTAACACGATATGAGTATGGATTGCCCATTGTCTTGAGAGTGCATGAATTCAATGGTCAAACACACATAGTACGTTGGAAAACATGGCAATTGGGATGATTTGGGTGAAGAATCCCCGCGTTTTTCCAAGCCATGTTCCCTAGTGACCCAAACGCCCCACTTTTGACATCTGACGCCAACGTGCCGGCCACCACTTGTGGTTCTTGGAAGCCAGCGGACTCCAGTTGTCATGACATGAGTGGGATGGTCATGTAGATTTGAGGATGTCACCAAGAAGAACATGAGGATTTCATGGAGATGTACTGTAAATGGGATTTAGCAGCCGATATTTTTCGGATGTCATGGGGATTTGTTCATTAGGGATATAAATTTATGATATAAATGGGATATAGAACCAGCTATACCCTCTGGTAAACCAACAAATAACTATGGAATATCACCATGCTATTAATGGGAAAATCCACTATTTCGATTGGGTCATGTTCTATGTCGCTATGTAACAGTCATTACCAGAGGGTATCCTCTTGGAATAGTTGTGATTCCTGCCAGGCAGTGCAGTAATTTTCCAAGTGTATCAAGCATGGCGAATCCAAGATACCTGCGATTTTTTGTGACTGTTTGCATATGTGGGGTTTTCTGGTCCCGCCAATAGTTCCAGCATTTTCCCCAACAAAAAAGCAACACAAGCAATAAATTGCTGGAATTTATAGGGATCCCATTAGGATCCCCTTTGTTGGTATGGGAAGTTTATGGAAGGGCTACCATCCATTGGGAGTCCCCATGCCATGGTGTTGTGCGCAACACCGCGCAGGGCGTGTAATTGTGTAATTCAAAAGCTCGGGAAAATCATCGAAACCGTGGCATTCTTGGGATGATTCCCCCTTTTTCGACTTCCGAAATTACATGAAATTAGACTTCAGGAATGAGATTGAATAAGCCATGGGACCCATGGGATGCTTGTCAGGTCTACATTCTACATTGTTTTGCCGCAAAATCTACTTGACCTTCGGCTCAGCACCAGAATCTCAGCTGCTCATGGCTACACCATGGTGCTGGATGCCAGCTTCTGGCACCTTCATCTCCACCCACGGTCAAATATATATATATAATTATATTATATATATATAATTAATATAATATGTATATTAATATAATATATATATATGTATAAATATGTATATATATATGTATAAATATGTATAAATATGGCTTCCGAGAAACAACTGTTGTTCTCTTCCGGAAGTTTCTGCATCACATGTTTTTTTTCACCAATTTTGTTCTACGTCACAAAAGGTTTTCACCGGATGTGGGTGTGTCCAAAAATTGGGTACATTCCCCGGATCTCGGGACCTACCCATCCCAGGCTCCGATAAAAATTGAGAAAAACTACCGCTTTTATCGTAGCAGGGGCTTCGCAGCGCCGTTGCCGGTCAGCGGCAACTTCTCTTTGGCCTCTTGAACCTGAAAAGTTGGGCGGCGGGCCTTTGGAAATGCATCCCAGTCGTGTAAGCTCAGGGCCAGGGTATAAGATGGTATAACTGGTGTAGCCCATTTACAAATACGTTATGTTTTGTACTCCAAGCTTCTATGGCCTATATCCATCTATATCCGCCAATGCCAAGTTGGGACATCCAAGAAATTTGGTTGAAGGGAAATCTACAGTACACCCATTGATTTGACAACCTGTCTGAAATATATTGGAAAACCCCTAAATCTACTGGTTCATCATGGTTCATCATTTCCCTATTAAAAGATGTCCGCTTGGTGGAATTTTCAAGAGAAACACCCAAGTATCATGTATTGATATGTATTGTTGTGACAACATGTAGCCCATATAGCTGCCCTCATCAAATGTCATATGTGAATTCCTGTCCCTCCACCTCCACTTCTGGACCCCAAAAAACGAGTTGCCAACGGCTCGTCCAAGCAGCTCGGTATTCCAATAGCTGGTTGTGCTCAGCAGCTTGATACCACTCGGTCAGAACCTGAGCGGGGGAAAAACATCATCTATAGCATCCTGGAAACAGGTTTCTATCTTTTTTGGGTGTTTATGTGTAATACCACCCAAAAAAAAACGAAAAGGTTGACATGTTCATTCTTTTCTGGGCGATTTTACGAAAGGTTACTTTTGAAATATGTCCCTTCTCATCACTTTTCTGTTGTTTTTGGTGGGCGTGTAATAAAGTGACCCTCTCACTGGGTTTCTTATTTTGTAGCTGAAAATCTAGCAAAAAGAATGCAAAAAGACCAATTCTGGGGAGCGACGAAATTGAGTGGTTGAATAGTTAGATGATGGGACGATGCTCGTCAAGAGCCGATTTCAGGCCCTCAAGAAAACTTCAACTACTGACCCCTGCGCGTGTGATCAATGGTGTGGAACCAGTAAATGCCTAGCGGACCCTGGTTGATCCATTCATATGTAGGAAGCATCGGGCACCAACCTCAAAACAGTGACTGGCCATTCAGAGTACGAATTTTCGCCATTCTTCAGGTGCAAAGTCCGACCCATCTCCAAGTCATCCAGAGCCCTCCTTTTTATAGAGGTTTCCTAAAATGAGGGTACCCCAAAACCATAAGTTTCAATACCAAAATGGTCTAATTTGGATGATTTGGTACCACCATTTCAGGAACCCCCTTGTTAAACAAGCCAGGTGCAATGGCAGAGTAGATGCACATTGAGAAGGAGTCGTTGAACATCTGCAAGGTTTCAGCATCGCGCGCCTCCTGAAAGATCCAGCCAGATGACTTCAAGATGGCTATGAAGTCGTCAAAACCAAAGGGTACCCGGATGGTATCCCTCTTGATGGCTGGTGCTGGATGTTGATTCCCCCAGTCTGGTAAATTCATAGGTGTTGACCCATCCCCAGATAGGTTTCTTGGGGAATAGAACGAACAAAGACGAGATTCGCAGCCTTTAAAATTGCAGTTCCTCTATCTGGAGGTCTAACTTCTATACACAAACGGAGGAGTTCAGTCTTGTATCAAACACCTAGATGCTTTAGATGGGATGGGTCAATATAAACTGGGACATGGGTGAAAATCCCAATCCCAACAGTCCCAACACTTCACCGTGAATATCTCACTCACTAAAAAACGCTTATTGCGATGCTTCTTCACCCTAACTTTGGATTATGGCAGTGTGTCAAAACCTTGTACCCCTGGTGAACATCAAAATAGCTGGTAAATGGATGTTCATTCCCCTAAAAATGGTATTAATAGGTATTGATCCATACCCAGATTTTCTACAGTCTCTGGGATGGTAAAGAATGATCTCCCTGCCGGCTTGCTGGCCTGACTTTGAAGCTGATCCAGTGGCGTGTACAAGGGCACGCCCGCGACCGTCAAGACCATGAAGAAGAAGAGGAAGACTCGCTGCAGAGCAATGGCTTGCGCATAGCCTTGGCGGGTGAGAAACCCCACCAAGAAACCTCCCAAACGGCCGGCCCAAACGGTTCATCATCATGTTCCACATGAAAATTACACAAAATTACTGAGTTGCAGGTCTCACACCGCTGCTGGGCGATGTTTGTTACGCACGAAAAAAAAACATTGGCCCCTGTGTGCAGAACTCTGGTAGAGCTTAAAGAACGAACAATCTTATCTAGGTTGGATCATAAACATTCATAAACATTCATAAACATTCATAAACCATATGCAATTGGGATTTGAATCCCATACTCTGAAGGATAATCCCAAGAACCTTCCCCCAAAACCCAAAAGGCAGAGATCCACCCCTATATCCGGCTTTCTGGGCTATGTGTGTGCTTTGGTGAAGATCTTCTACAGCATCCTGGCAAAAATGGTTCCAATGATCTTATTTCTTTGTTGGTTGAACCCAATTCTTTAGCCAGTGAAACCCAAGTGGTAGCCCAAGTTATCACTTTGTATTGATAGTGATGTTTTTTCTCAAAAAATACCCCAAAATCGAGCCAAAATCCAACAGTTGATCACAATTTTCCCCATTTTCTGCGCTCCAAAAACGATAGGCAGGCTGCGGGGTATACCATGGCTATACCAATTAGATCCCATGAATCCCGATTGTCACTATAGATAGACAATGATAAACATATATAAATCCTCATGATTACAAGGCAATCCCAAAAACACGCCCATTGTTGACGTCACCTTCCCATGATTTTGGGATGTGGGGGACTGATAACACGATCGAGGCGCCAAACATCTTGGTGGCCCAATACTTGTGGCGGACGATGTCCTTCCGCAGGACGTGGTAGACCGTCTGTGTCCACACGTAGGCCTCGTCAACGAGGGGTAGGTCACGTGGGCTTTTACGGGACGATGCGGCGTTTGAGGACAATCCAAGTAGGATGAGAAAGAAACAGGTGCATATTAGACAAATAGATGGATAGATGGATGGATAGATAGATGGAATATTAGTTTTAAAATGTTTAAAACATGTTCAAGCCATAACCATCACGAGTCCCGTGCCATGGCAGCTCCATAGGCGATGCTCAGCATGCGGATGCCGGGCGTGGGCGATTTCAAGGCTAAGCCCGTGCCGGTGATGATCTGCCCAAGCATGGCGAGGACCTGGCACAACGCCGATTTCTGGTGAAATCCCAGGGGCTAAAATGGGGAGATTCTATGGTTACTCAAGAATGTGCTAATTTCCTCAAAACATTCACATGGTGAACATCTAAGTAATCAACATACATACATACATACATACATTACATACATTACATTACATTACATTACATTACATTACATTACATTACATTACATTACATTACATTACATACATTACATACATACATTACATACATACATAACATAACATACATACATAACATAACATACCATACCATACCATAACATAACATAACATAACTTAACATAACATAACATAACATACATACATACATACATTACATACATTACATACATTACATACATTACATACATTACATACATTACATACATTACATACATTACATTACATTACATTACATTACATAACATTACATTACATACATTACATACATACATTACATACATACATAACATAACATACATACATAACATAACATACCATACCATACCATAACATAACATAACATAACTTAACATAACATAACATAACATACATACATACATACATTACATACATTACATACATTACATACATTACATACATTACATACATTACATACATTACTTACATTACATACATTACATACATTACTTACATTACATACATTACATACATTACATACATTACATACATTACATACATTACATACATTACATACATTACATACATTACATACATTACATACATTACATACTTACATACATACATTACATACATTACATACATTACATACATTACATACATTACATACATTACATACATTACATACATTACATACATTACATACATTACATACATTACATACATTACATACCTTACATACCTTACATACCTTACATACCTTACATACCTTACATACCTTACATACCTTACATACCTTACATACCATACATACCATACATACCATACATACCATACATACCATACATACCATACATACCATACATAACATACATAACATACATAACATACATAACATACATAACATACATAACATACATAACATACATAACATACATAACATACATAACATACATAACATACATAACATACATACAATACATACAATACATACAATACATACAATACATACAATACATACATACATACATAAATACATACATACATACATACATACCATACCATAGCATAGCATAGCATAGCATAACATAACATAACATAACATAACATAACATAACATAACATTACATTACATACATACATACATACATACATTACATACATACCATAGCATAGCATACCATAACATAACATAACATACATGCATTACATTACATTACATTACATTACATTACATTACATTACATACATACATACATACATACCATAGCATAGCATAGCATAGCATAGCATAACATAACATAACATAACATACATACATACATACTTACATTACATTACATTACATTACATTACATTACATTACATTAATACATACATACATACATACATTACATTACATTACATTACATTACATTACATTACATTACATTACATTACATACATACATACATATATATATACTTGAGTTGCCCTTTGGCAAGCAAACATGGCCCTGGAAAAGCCTTCAGTGAGTTCGATCCATGATGTTGGATGATCTTCTTATTGAAACCTCCGTTGAGTTCATGCATTTTCCAGCCCGCCATGTTTGATAACACAGATGCTGGACTTCACCCAATGAAATTTATCGGCCATGTTTTGTCGTGGGAAAATGAGCGGCTCGAAGAACCACCGGGGTGTTGAGGATTTTTCGGAGTTTTATGTAACGTTTCAGACAACACCACCTTACTTTTCTCCAAATCCAATTGTGTTATCATCATTGTCTTATCAACGTTCCAACCAAAATGAAGAAAACAATTAAAACCAAAGGATCTTTGAACGGAAATTTCGGAAACTTCACTTTCAGCTTTCTGTCATGCTTTATGTCATGTTTCATTGTAATGTTTATTAAGCCATCATGTTCCTATCCGATCCACGATTTAACAACATCCATTCCTCCATGGTTCCACCATGGTGAACCACCGATGGCCTGGATGCGTCCATTCCAACGGTGGAGCCATAAGTGCTTGGCGCGAATCCACTTGATCAACTGAATCCTGGGCTGGCAGTTTTGTTGCGCAGATTTGTTGCTGTTCCTGGGGATTTGTCATGGGTGTTTTTTTTTCATATAAGGGGTATATGAATGAATACGTGGGATGTGTGATGGTGATTGAGTAGGCATTGAAAAAACGTGGGATGCGGTCTGGGGGATTTCACTAGGATTTAATGTGGATATAATGGGAGTATCGTCATCTAGTCACAACAAATATTCATTATGTTCATGAATACATCAGCAACCGCATGATATCATATGATATTCCGGCTTTGTCCAGATGCTTGGGAGTCGGGGGTGCTCTGCGGGTGGGGTTGCTTCACTGGAGGCACAGGATTACGCGTACGTGTATAAAGATGTATACTGAAGTGCATGTGTAATCATATGTATATAGACACATAGAGAGAAAGAGAGACTTGATTTGGAAGTAATCTTTTATGAGTTCATGTTGGTATTGAAACTCATGGCTTTCCGGTACCCATTTTGGAAAACGCCCATACTGCCCATGGATATGACGTGGATCTTGCCCAAGGAGCCAACTCAAATTCCACCACAGAATCGCCGAGAAGACATGCGGCGCGAAATAGACCCACCTATTGGTGGCGCGGGGGGATGGAGGTTTGGGACGCCCAAAAACAACGAGGGTTTTTTGCGTAGATTTAATGGGACTGAATGGGACTTTAATGGGATGTAATATTGACATTGGAATGTTGAGAATAGTAATAGAATATTGGTTTATACCCTCTGGTTGTGGATGATCTCTATGGGATGTTGATTGTTTAATGGGACTTAATGGTGATATTAATTGGATACAGTCATGGAACATTCATGAAATGGTGGTTTATGTGACAACCCGCCAGCAATCAGCTACATGGCTAGCTGGGAAATCCTCTACCCATGGGCATCTTATGCGTACATATATATATATGGATATATATATGGATATATATATATATACATATATATATATATATGGATATATATATATATATACATATGGATATATAATGATATATATATACATATCCATATATATATATCCATATATATATATTAATATATATGGGAACTTCATCGAAGCAAATGGATGATTTGTCTGATTACCAGAGGGTAGCGAATTATCCACTTTTTTTAGTGGAACTGCCCCAAGCCAGGCCTGAGCGTCTCTGAGAATGGTGGATATTTACATGCAATTCTAATGAAATATATGACGATGAACCACTAACATGTTGGGGAAACTTAGTTTCAGACAAACCCAAAGATGTTTGACCTGCCATCTTTTGCTATCAACTATTTATAACAATTCTGCATACTTCTGGAGGGTTTGATTACCAACCTGAGGTACAACCTCCTTGTTCGCCGCATCTAAAGATCAGATATCATGAAGTTGAGCGTGTCGCAGAGATTCAAACTCAGTGCAATCATAAGGTTGGCCTTGATTTACAATGAATGGATGCACTCACCATCACTTCAGACTTTGTATTGTCATTTTTGCAGGTTCACGCCCTAATTTGTTGTATTAAACCACCAAGCCTTATTTTTGTTGACTGAATTCATTGAATCTATGTTCCCATCTTTTTTTGTTTGGGTCAAAGTATGGTAGATGGCTCATGGTCCTCCATAGGAATTCGTACAATAGGTGTATATAAATCCCCGTGAAAGGATTGATCACCATTCCCGGACACGGGGGTGGGGTCAGACATGCATCATGCACATACCCTCTGGTAAACTAACATAGCTATGGAAAATCACCATCTTTTATGGGAAAATCAACAATAAATGACCATGTTCAATAGCTACGTTAAATTACCAGAGGGTAATTTAAGTGTCGCCAATTGTCATCCAAAGAAATCACATCGAACAAGAACAGAAGAATCGGGAACCAGGCAGAGCAACAACATTTGGGTCCAACTTCTAATGGTACCCTGTGGGTGTGGTTGAATCCCCCATACTCGGTCACCCCCGTTCACAAACCATCATTTATTATACGTATCCCCATATCTTCGGTGGTGCCCCATAAAGTCACCATAGTTTGTGGTTAAATGCCATTAGATCCCATTAACATCCTATCAAAATCCAATGGAAAATCCCATGGAAAATCCCGTTCCCCTCTGGTAAACTAACATAACTATGGAAAATCATCATTTTTAATGGGTAAATAAACTATAAATGGACCATGTTCAATAGCTATGTAACAAATTACAAGAGGGAGTATAACGGATTCTTCTCCCTATCCATCAATACCATTAATGGATCGATGATATATTTATGTATAATACTATCCATCAATCCCATAATAATACCATTATGTATATTTATGTATCATAATACCATTGTTTTTACCCATTGGGAAAAACAAACCATCCCATTAACTCATCAGTCCCGTTGGATATGTCATGGCCGACCTGGGTCCATAGTAAGTCTCCTCCTCGCGTCGGAAGAAGGTATCCCTCATGGGCGTGGTATCCTGGACGATGAAGAGATCGCTTCCCCCAGTGGGAATCAGTGTTATTATTATAACAAATCAATGGGGGGAAATCGACAGGAAAAGCATAGATTATTGGTAAATAACTAAGCAATCCATGTATTATTAGTAAATAACTAATCAATGGATTGGTTTAAGGGAAAATCTTGACCGGAAACCATTGATGTTCCCATTAAATATGGGGCTTTCCTGCAAATTTTCCCTAAAACCAATCCATTGAACTAAATATTAAACTAATACACGAATGAAACCTAATGATTAATTTAGTGTAACAGTTTTGTAAGTTACTAAATAATTCCATATTGGAAAACTGTTGCAATAGCTTTACTTTAATAAACTCTTACAATAACTAATCATTAGTATATTATTATGAGTGCTAGTCGTCTTTAAACATCTTGAAACTTTGGGGGACCAAGTTTTGGTAAAGTAATATAGGATTAAGATCTTGACTCCATACTATGAATGACTAAAATAATATACGTAGTCTTATGTATGTTAATCTATAGATGTTTCGGAAACACATGGAAAATAAACATAAACTATAATATAAACTCTTACAATAACTAATCATTAGTATATTATTATGAGTGCTAGTCGTCTTTAAACATCTTGAAACTTTGGGGGACCAAGTTTTGGTAAAGTAATATAGGATTAAGATCTTGACTCCATACTATGAATGACTAAAATAATATACGTAGTCTTATGTATGTTAATCTATAGATGTTTCGGAAACACATGGAAAATAAACATAAACTATAATATCTATATATAACTAAGTAATAAGAAATATAAATTAAGATACTTACCTTGGTTATTTATACCTCTTGAAACCGTTGTTGAAATAAAGTAACTAAATAAGAATCTGTAAACTGAACATCATACTATAGCCTGATAGCTAGATAATAAACTAAGCTGGATAGTAATCTATAAATAACAAAGGAACCAAGTAACTCTTGGAAAAAAAAAAAAAACAATAATAATAATACTATACCGTAATCTATCCTGCTCAAGGGAAACATAGTAATAACTGCCCTCCGGTGTCGTCAAACCTGGCTGGGAAACCCTCATCCAAATAGCCAGGAGATCTTGCAGCAAGCCATGTTTGAGTACAGGAGTGCAGCTATTCGAAAAACTTTAAACATACGTATTTATATATATATCCCGATCAAGGATAACATGGTAATGACCGTTGGGAAACGTGATATGGAAGTGTAATGAGCATTGGGAAAAAAATATGTAATCAGTCAATATAGTCCTCCTGATCGAGAAGCAACTGTCCGTTGTTGTGAATATCACGATCAAGGTGTGTTGATCTCCTGCTAAATGTTTGACCATCATAGAGCGGTAGATGTCGTAATGCAATGAACCCATATGAAGCACGGCAAGCCAAAGCTATCAGTATTATTGCAATCGTGCCAAGCAAATAGGGAAGCCATGGTGATATAATTACTTCGCAGATCGTGGTAGATTGCTGGTTGGTTGGTTAGTCAAAAATACAAAAATTGCGTCAATCAGATCCCCCAAGAATAGGGGGCTGAGATAGGAAAAAAGAAAGGTATCAAATCGTTGTATCATGTTGTATACAGAGAACAAGAAGCGTGCATTCTGCTCAAGAAACGAATCAAAAACTCACTGAAATGAGGTCTAAGTCTATGTGATCATGAAAAGTGGATGTAACCAACAATAAAAAAGGAACATAACCATACGGTGGGAAGAGAACTATGATTTTTTGTGCTGTACAACCTGCGCCCCAGAAACATGCCAATAGTTTGCTTGCTTGGCATTTTGAATGCACTGTTGGTAAATGTCCCACCTTGATCCACCTTGGATATAACTTGAACATTGCATAGAAGGATGATTGCAAATGATACCCCCAACGGTGCCAACGGTGATACTCTGAGCTGGGAAAATCACCGCACTGAAGTGTTAAGTGCAGCACCCAGTGTCATTCTGGCAGTGCTCCATTGCATACTGCCGATCTGGAAAGTGTTTGGAGAAGATCAAGTTGCTGAGCGAAATAAACCTGGCATGTTGGCCAGCTGTCCGCAACAACGGCAACCCCCGAAGCCAACCCAAAAAAAAACGGGCGGTGGCCCAAAGAAACTTTCTCTAGAGTAAATCTTAGGCACCAAGCGAAGAAGAGGCAGAAGATAATGTAGAAGACTGCCAGCAGGTCTCTTGAAGACCATTTCGTCTCGTTTCCCATGGCGAAAACAACACCACTTGATGAAACGGCTGCGTCGTGCCATTTGGATCAACTTGCGGAGATCAATGGAGGAAACTGCTACAATGCTGAACATTCACTTGGACGTGCATCCCAGCTTAAGTGGTTGCCACATCCAAGCCATATATATATATATATATATATATATGACCCAAATTAACAACATTAAAGGGATATTTCATATATATATATATACCCCCCCCATGGGATGGGGGGGGTATGATGCCCCTGTGGTGGTGTATATACATACATACATACATACATACATACATACATACATACATACCTACATACCTACATACCTACCTACCTACCTACCTACCTACATACCTACGTACATACATACATACATACCATTACATTACCTTACCTTACATTACCTTACCTTACCTTACTTACAGATACTTATAGAACCACCAAGAGACACCAATCATTCATATAATTTTATAATAATAGCACTCATGAATTATAGTAATAATATCTGATAATATATTATATATATAATATAAAAATTATGTTTTTTTCAATTATATAACCAGCTTACCAGATCCATTCAAAGTTATCTTAGCCACCTGCAGCAACTCCCCCAGGCCTGTGCGTAGATGAAGTATTGGCTTGCAACGGCCTCAGGAAAAACATGGGCCGAAAATTCAGCGGTTGATGGTAAACTGGTAAACTCTGCAATTTCCATCAATTTTCATCCAATGTTCAGTCACCTGCAGTTGTGTTCAGCAAGGTTTCTGAGCAAGTGTGTTTTGTTTGTTTGTTTCATACATCGCTACTTGCAGAAGAGCCATGTTAACAATCAGTGCATTCATGTTTGCATCCCAGTTGAGTTCTTGCGAAATAACGTTGATAGGCGTTGCTGAATTTTCTTGTCAGTCGTCGTGAGATTGTTCTGATTCACCCAATTGCAATGTGATATAGATATAATTGGGGGGTGTACTTATTAAATTCGGGGTCCCCAAAATCAGGGGTTTCAATACTACCAGTAAAATGGTCGAATAAATTTGGATGATTTGGGGGTACCTCTATTTTAGGAAACCTCCACTTCTGTGTCTGCTAAAAATCAATGTTGCCAGCCAGATCAGGATCCTTTCTGCGATGGTGGGATGTCCCGTTGCCGGAGGGTCATTCCTGAGGCGAGTGCCGCTCCGGACAGGGCAGCCGTGTCCTTAGACCAAAAGTTGATCTCCGCTTGATGCTTCTGGTGGAAAATACCAGATTTCCGTTGGCAAAATCCCTGGAAGAATTGGTGTCACAGTGTCACCCCGAAATGTGGGAAAATCCAACCTACAAGAATCCGGGCCGGGGCATACACAAACATCAATTTAGGACAATCAATGGAGCAGGACCCTGCCGATTCCTCCTTTACTCCTGGTTGAGGCAGGAACTCGCATTTTGGCGAGGACAATGACCCCCAATTGACCCCCAATTGACCCCCAATTGACCAGTCAGTACAGCCCATTTTTTCAAGTGACATCACCAAGAAATTCATTGCGGGGGTCTTGCCAGCATGTACTTCGGAGACAGAAAAACCATCCACTTTCTTGCCAGAGTCATAGAAAATCAATGAAAATCATAGACACAACCGTGTTTTTGCGCAGTAGCATTGCTAGTTCCCAATTGTTGGAGGGAACCTCCCCCTTGATGGCTTGATCTCCATTGGAAAGGTGGAACCATGTGGAACCATTGCAACCACGTGGCGATGGCAAAGTCGTGGTGATCAAAGAGGAAAGCCGCTGAGGATCTGGCGACCGGGATGATTCGGGACGATCATTGATGGCAAAGGGTGGTAAATGTATGTAAATCTTAAGGTACATTGGTACATGATGTTAAATGATGATGTATTGATTAACGCTTCATGTATAAAAAAACTCATTTTAGAGGTTCTGAAAAGCCTGAATTTCCCAACCATTTGAGGATGATAAGGATGACGGGGCTGGAGGTTTTGGTGTGTGAAGGCCAGAATCAACGAAACAAAGGCTGAAATGTCTGGGATATTCTGAAATGGTCCTATTAAAGCCCTTGTATATCTTGTATTCAATGGAAAATCCTGCTTGTGCTCAGCATTCACTTCGCCGATTTAGCCATCCATTCCATTCCCCTCCCCATTCCCCTCCCCATTCCCCTCCCCACCACTTGCGCACCCTGCTTGACCCGAAACGATCAATAGCAAGCTGGAGATGACGGTGGAGAACAGGTTCACATAGAGCATTCTCAGCACGACAGGGTAGGGTCGACAGGCGGGTGATGGATTTGGAAAGGAGGTGGGGGTTTCCATAAATGGGGGTACCCCTAAATCATCCATTTCAATAGGATTTCCCTTATAAACCATCCATTTTGGGGTACCCCCATTTATGGAAACCCCCAGGTGAGTTTGGCCAAGTTGCTGATTGCAGCGGCTGGTTCGATGCTCCTGGTAGGTCGTGCCACGAACAACACATGGGATGGATGATCAATGACCATCCCAATGGGGAACTGGGCGATTTACTCAACTGACCATGGCACACATCAGTTGAAAGCCCCGAATTTTTGGGATTTCACATCCCGCCCCACTGGCCGGACTCGAAAGATTTTGGGGGCGGTGACTTGAGTACTTGAGTCCTACACACGCCCATACTGGGTGAACTCCAGATTCCCAGAAAACCAATCTGGACTTGGCCCATACCCTCAATTTTTATCATCTACCACGCCAGTTGACAATGTACAATCATTACAAAATGTGTTGCGTCTATTTTCGACCATCAAGAAAAGGATGATTTCCCAGCTAGGTGAGATTACCGAAGGGCATACCAATGTTGTTGATTATATCACACCCACCTTCTTGTTGGTTCACGCAACTGCCCCGTCTGCCTTGAAGAGCTTCTCTTGAAGGCTCGAAGTGAGACCATCAAAGACCAGAAAGGCCAAGATGAGAGCATAGCCCCAACCTGAGCATAATGGGCTGGCTTCATGTAAAAAATCCCAAGGGGCATTGGATTTGAGTCTTTAGTGTCATGTTACCCTCTGGTAATCAAACATGGCTAGCTGCAAAATCCACTATAAAATCAGGGTCTCGTTTCCAGAAGATAGAGGTATACTTTCAGGATCCAGCAGCCGCCACTGACAGTGAGTCCAAATGGCATATGGGAATTGTCTGTGATGTAATCACCCCAAATCTGATGGTTTAGAAATGTCTAGAATGGTTTAGAACCTCAATCTGTTTAGACATGATTAATATAGACATTGGGCCTGACCCCTGCATCTGGGGAGAAGTGAAAACTGCCAGTTTTATCTGATGGTGGTTTTTACCCCAGCAACACAGACAGCCCCAGATCCTCTCCAAGTTCTTGGGCATCCCACCTGCTGTCCCATTGTCTGTCCTGCCCAGCAGCCATCCACGGCTGGGAAAAAACCACAGGGGGTGGATCATTCAATGGAGCCTCCTAGGTCATGGATTATCATAGGTCGTGCATGGTGCAGGTTTCCTAAAATGGGGTTACCCCCAAATCATCGATGTTAATAAGATTTTCCATTATAAGCCATCCGTTTTGGGGATCCCATATGATTTTATCCATTGATAGAAAGCCCCAAGTAGACTTGGGACAGAAGTGAATAAAGGAAGGGCATCATCCCACTCATGTCATATACTGATGTTCGAACTGCGGCGATTGAATCTAGTAGTCACTATCTCCTTCTATGCGGATCTGAGAGGTGTAAATCAATTGGAACTTCCAACAGCAAAATGTTCCAACTGAGCAGCGTCCAAAACGTGTGATTAAATGCATTAAATGCCTATTTCGCATGGGTTTGCTGACGCGTGGGCTTACGCACTACTTATGCGACCACAATTTTGGCTTACGTGAGGATTGGGGTGGAAGACGTCTTACGCGACACTTGAGCAACTTGAATTGCCCCGGGATGTGTTGACAGGAATGCTTACACATGGGCTTACGTCATGCGTCTATCACCAAAATGCATACATCAGCTTACGAAACACACAGCTCTGGTCCATCTGGTCCTCAAGACCCGACTACTGCCCAGTTCATCTGATGTAATCCCCAAACCGCCAAACCTATTGGTTTGAGGGACTCCAATCATCACCTCTTGGCGGTAAGTGATATCGCTATATTTTGCAGTTTGAATCCCTGTAGTTGGTTTATGCCTCCTGCATAGCCAACCAAATCTCATTTCTTCGTGATTTTACATCCCAAGTCTATTTGGATCCCCATCTCAATTTGAATCTCCAATTTCGGCAACCGTATCCAACCCCTCGTTTTGATCCCGTGATCCCTCATGTTTTCATGGTTTTTCCCATCTGCGACGGCCCGGGCCCAACCCACCGTCCCAAAAAAACCGATCTGCTCCTCTGCGAGGACGCCGTGGGGCCCAGCAGGAGGAACTCCGAGACCCCTAGAGTCACCAGCAGCGCGACCAACCAGTCTGCCGCGCCAAAGTGTGCCCTGCGTCTGGTTTTTGATGGGATTTGAACCCATTGAAATAGATGATTTACCTATTAAAAATGGTGATTTTCCATGGCTATGTTAAATAACCAGAGGTAACACCATCTCTGAATTACCCTCTGGTTATGACAAAATCTGGTTTGCCATGGAAAGATCCACCATGCTATTAATAGGTAAGCCATCTATTTCTATGAATTGATCCATATGATATCATATGAATCGTGGCATCATCAAGATATCAAGCAGCTTGATATCCAAGGTGGTGGATTTGAATGGGAAAATCACCTCACCGATGGGGATTTCAACGAGCCCATGGTAAAACATGGGATTTTGGGGTTATCATATTTTCAGACAAACCTATGGTGGTGGGGTTGGGATTGTAAATTGGCAACAGTATTTTTTTGGCAGATATGAAACACTTAGAATCTTAGAAGTGGCTTTTAACGCCTCCCACGCATATTCAGATGGCAGTCTGCGTTTGACAGAAATGTATAGAAATGTGATATATGATAATATATGATAATATATCATATATCCATCCCGGAATAGAGAATAGAATGTGAAATCGAACAACTATCATTTGCTTGGGAAACTCAGACCGCTTCAGCTGAGTCAGCTGGCTCCCCATTGAGTAGGGAATATGGATGCCCCAGACTCCCGACAGCTCTGAACCGGAGCACTGGGCGTCCCAAACCCACTAATGCTGATGCTCCAAATCATCACCTGCCGAGAGGAAAGGGCGGCAGAGCTCTTGCCATGGCTGGGATGATGATGATTACGATTGATTATTATTGAAGTTATATATGACATGTTGTTATATGTTGTTACTATTATTATTGTTATTGATGATGATGATGATGATGATGATCATCATCATCATCATCATCCTCATCGTCATCGTCATCATCATCATCATCATCATCGTCGTCATCGTCATCGTCATCGTCATCGTCATCGTCATCGTCATCGTCGTCATCATCATCGTCGTCATCATCGTCATCATCGTCATCATCGTCATCATCGTCGTCATCGTCGTCATCGTCGTCATCGTCGTCATCGTCATCGTCATCGTCGTCGTCGTCGTCGTCATCATCATCATCATCGTCGTCATCGTCATCGTCATCGTCATCGTCATCGTCGTCATCGTCATCGTCGTCATCATCGTCATCATCGTCATCATCGTCGTCATCGTCGTCATCGTCGTCATCGTCGTCATCGTCGTCATCGTCATCGTCATCGTCGTCGTCGTCGTCGTCATCATCATCATCATCATCATCCTCATCCTCATCCTCATCCTCATCCTGGTGATGATGGTGGTGGTGGTTGTCAGGGTCAGGGTCAGGGTCTTTGTTCATTTTTGCCGCATCGCTTTGATGTTGGATGTTCAGTTCACCCGTGCAACTCGTGTCGGTCATCAAGTCACCGGAAGCATCTTGAAGCTCTTGCCCAGCATTTGGACCACGAAGGACACATACTTCAGCGCCTGACTCGGAACATGGCACTGTAGTGGCAACCAGAGGCAATCCGGGTTCAGGGGAAGGGATCCACAAAAGTCCCGAAATTTGCACATTGGAAGCGAATCACTTACAAGAAGGGATGGCTACTTCAACCTTTTTTCCCCACAATTCAGCAGATTTCAGCAGTTCATGTCCCAGCAAAATTGGAATGGGGCTGGTGGCTGGTATTGGGACCGTCTCAGATCTTACAGGCTTAATGGATGTCATGTAGACCCTGTAGGCCCTCTTGGCTGTTTCAGGCCAGTGGTTTCGGCGGATCTCAAACACATGAGCTAGTTGAATATTCTCTAAAATGGACGGAAAGTACCAACATATACCACAAGCCAGCTTTCTTCATAACCTCCATGGCTGTGAAAAATAAAAAACAAAAATACAGTAAAAATCAGCGGTTCATCATCATTTCTTCCCAGAAATGTGCGCGAAAACTTGGGGTTTTTGGGAGTCCTGGGAGTCCCATCCAGACGAACTCTCGACCCTTCCAGGCCTCGTATTGGCATGCAGTGGCACCTACATTGGACAGCGCTACTGAGGCCTCAGGTGGCTGGGTGACCCTGGTGGCTGGCAGGTTGGTGTCTGGTGTCAAATAACCTCTGGTAATCCAACATAACTTATGGAAAATTCCACCTTTAGATGATCATGGTGGTTTTTCATGGATATCTTGGATTTTCAGAAAGATTCAGAAAGTAATTTCAGGTCTATCAGATGGATCCCATCAAGGTTCAAGACGACCATTTGCAGTAAGAAAGTTCTCAAGTCGCCAAGAAATATGTTGCAAATGGGTGCCACCTTCCCAAGCAACCTGCGTTTGCTTTTTCGAGAGTCCGGTCTATTGTAATGGGAATTCTTCGTTGATAAAACCTTACTATATATATAGTGGTTGTTGGTGTAAAAGGTTCGCCCTTGATAAACAAACCCAAACATTATTCCCTGGGTCACCGACCCCTGGGGGCGTTGGTTCACGTTGAATCCCCACGTCCCCGGTAACGGGTGAATCATCTTCCGGACGAGCATCGTATTGCCAGTAGGGTGCTTCACTTTGTAACCGTTCCTAGGTGCGTTCCTAGTCGCCACACACCCCAGATATATGGACTTGAGAACCAAGTTGACCGCAGATGGATGTGTCTGAAAATCGGGTATATACCCATGTATAATTCTGAAAATGGCAATATCAATGAGAAAATGATGATGACCCCCTCTAAATGGCCATTCTTATAGGACGAATGGACGTTTCCCAAAATGGAGGTATACTGTACCCCATTTATCATCCATTTTAGATTGGGATTTTCCATGAAATAACCATCTATTTATGGGGTATCCCCATTTCAGGAAACCTCTAAGTCAATGAAATGATTTTCCATGAAATAACCTATCCCAGCTATTGGGCTACCCCCATGACTATGGAAATCCGCTCCATCTGATCTCCAAGCGTCGCCCCGCCATATGATGGCTGTGAGGGAACATAGGACCGCCATGATGCGATTACCTAACGATGGCCATGGGACAAGAATCCCCGTCCCCATATGAGCCATGGAGGATACATGTAGTTATATTACATATATATATATACACATATATATATATATTGCCTGTCTATATATATATATATACATATATATTGTATGTGTATATATATTATATATATATATATATGTATGTCAAGCAACATTCAACCTTCCCAAAGTGGCCCAAAGGTAGTTCAACAAATCATAATTGGATGAGATATGGCTAAAGCTGAGCGGCTTTTGTGCACCCGAAGAATTGGGCAGTCAACTAAACACTGATATCATTGCTAGTGTCCTCGTTGGTTGTCACCCTGTTCCTGTTAGGCTGCATGGGCGGTCTCACACTCGCTTAGACTATTTGGAGGTTTCCCAAAATGGGGATATTCCCAAAATCATCCAAAATTGGTGATTATCAATGGGAAAATGAATGATTTGGGGTACCCATAGTTTAGGAAACCTGCATTTGGGGACAAAGAAACCTATGGTTTCAAGGGTCTTTGGTTGAAGGGCTCCCTCAAACTTGGACCCAAGGACCAAAGGCAGATTCTAAGGCTACGGCGGGTACGGATCAAACGCTGGTCATTTTACCGTTGGTGAATCCTCAGTTTCGTCTTCATTCAACGGCAATTGTCTTGTGTGATATACAGTACCCCATCTTTAAACGGCCCCACGAAAATTTCAGGGTGTCCAAAGGTCCAAAGGTGCAGTCCCAGCTGCAAAGGACTAGGAAAAGCGAACTGTTAAAGACCTGGAGCTGGATTCAAGTCAGAAAATCCACAGGATTTTACGCAGCAGCTGGATTTTTCTTCGGCTTTTTTGGTCAAAGATGAAGGCAACAAAAAACCCTGATAACCCCTGTGATTTTCGCTGCAAGATGTTTCTGAAACCGATGACGCCTGTCTAATCCAATGAGTCGGAGATTCAGAGATTGCCAAGTCGGACACTTTGGTATTGGATACTTCTTGAAGACGTGGTTTGGCGAAAAAAAACAGTCATCCCCAAAAAAATAGACAAGTGATCCGACTCTAAAATAGTGAAGATTTACTGTTCTATGATTACTATACAAGGATCATCATGGATCTATATGTTTTCCGATTCAAATACGGCTTCGGTTTCCACGTCTTCTTTTCGGTCAAAGCAGTTTGCGGACTGGGACAAAGAAAGCCTTTCTGTCTCCATGGAGGGTCGATGAGCTCCATGGATGAGAATTGGATTGGATGTGTCAACTCTGAGGGTATAGAATGGTATAGACATAGATATTAGATTTAGATTTAGATAGTAACCCTCCAATACAATGGAAAAGTCATCAAAGTCATTGTTAATCAATGTTAATCATCATCAAAAATCATCAAAATATAGGGAATCACTGTCCCATCTTTGCACGGCTTCGCTCCCTCGGCACCTGACCATGGTAAGGCCGTGTCATAATCCGCTCCTGAAGTGCGCCATAGATCAGCAGGAAGAAGATGATGCCCAACTCGGTATCCATGGCGTGAAATGCCACCCTTCCTGGTTACTGGGGAGCCTGAGTCTACCAACGGGAATGCGAAGAATGCTGACTTCATGGGGACTTCATTCAATGGGAAATTCAGGATCCTAAAATGGAGGTACTGTAGCATATAAGGCAATATTTTGTCGGGACATTCCCTTACATAGGCCTTAAAAAAAGGCCTTATATAATATATGGTAGGTACCTCCAATAAATCGGTTCCTGTTGCATGGCCATTGATTCATTGAGATACTGGTCATTTGTTGCAGTTTGCCAACTGGAAGCCATGATCCCAACTGATTCCGATGAGATCTGCCATCCCAGCAACCACAAAAGGGGCTCGTCATCATCCAAAATAGATCCATCAACGCCAGTGAGGGGTTGGCATTATTGGGACCACGGTAAACACCGACCTGTCCGGTGCCCAAAAAAAACCATAAAAATCCATGCCTTAATGAAGCTACTTGATCTACTTGAACCTGGGGGGATCAACACAGCAAGTCACCACCTTTTTTTGCCGGTGCGAATGGGCACAACAAAATTCTGCCTTTTTGTTGCCTCACACAACAAGGGAAATCTCCGGCATTCCAAGCTTCTTTTTGGCTTGGTTCAAAATCTCAGCATCACTTGGGGTCTTTGAAACCTCACCACCATAGCCATGGCATCCCTCTTGCACTTTGCCTGAGGGGGTAAAGTATCGGTTCTTATACATTTGCCTCTCTGGCAAACATGTGCCCACCGTCTCCCCCCTCATCACAACATAGTTTCCAAAGAAATAATCTTCGTGACCTGCAATGGTGTCGCAAACACCAAGGGCGCGGTCAACATATGCATCGACATTGTCCTCGGAGGTCATGTTCTGAGCCAAAAACATGTCAGTGGTTGGTTCTTGAGCCACCCCTTAAACCACAAACCATAGATCTTCACAGTCAGAATGTGCATACACAAATGTACCTACCACAAAAAAAAAAAAACGACGACTGATCATCTAAACGCAAGAAATTTAAAGTACAATTTAACAGTTAGCATTCAACATCATGGTAGTGATAAAATGACGAATAGTATCATTGTACATCATTGCTACTACTATTAATATACTGTCTTTGCTATGTGTTGTCGTTATTGTTGCTATCATTCTTATCACTATAAAATCATGATGATGATGATGATGATAATAATAATGATAATGATAATGATGATGATGATGATGACGACGTCAACTCGTCAACTCGTCAACCTGTGGATCGCCGTCCGCCAAGCATCGTAGTGGTGGTTGTCGTGGCCACCAAAGTCGTTCTTCATCGCCTGTCCGCCATAGACCAAGAAGTTATCCTCGGAGCTCCATCCTATGGTTGGGACGTGGGTTATCGACTAAGGGGGTCGATAAAAAACGCCAAAGTCACCATCCAAGTCATCCAAAAAATCCCATAAAATCCCAATTACAAAGTGTAAATATGTGTACATATGTGTAAATCTATCACAAACTCCA